GGCACGCATCCATCTCAACCCAGACAATATTGGTCTGGAGGTGGTTGAGGCTCGGCTTTCCTCATAGACGGACTCATCTTCTTCTTTAGTGATCAGTGTGCAATTGAAGTTATTGAACTGTCTTTTTTCCGAGTTTTCTCTGTTTGTTCTTTTTACCAGGCGTGGGCCATCCCCTGGACTATAAAAATGGGTGCCTTATTATTTTCTCTTTTTTCATCATGCATTCGTCTGGGTTAGAGTCTTAAATCAGAAATTTCAAAACTAAAAAAACTATAAATGCACTCCATATTTAGCACTTGATTGTTCCTGCTAGGCCCTACGCTACAGGCCCTACTGCCGCGCCTACCCCCCCCCCCCCGCCCCTTTGGCCTTGCTGGCGAAAGCGGTGGGGGTGGGGTCTACCAGGTAGGCTCAGTAGAGCCTGAAACATAGGGCTAGAAGGAGCAATCAAAATGCTAAATATGGAATGCAATATAGTACACTTTAGAGGAATTGGAATTTATACTAAAAGTTAGTAAACAAGAATTCCGAGAATAGTACGCCTAAGTTGCAGGAAATACAACATGACCAAGGAAAACACTTACCAAGAATGGAGTCATTGATTCCGTTCCTAGAACAATGAGCCAAGGACCCTCATGGTTTGTGCACACGTACACAGAAAGCACAAATACTTGACAATACTTCTGGGTCTGGTCACTTTCGGTATTCTTACCAGTAAGATGGCTAGCTTTGACTTGGGTGCAAGTGATATTGACTTGGAAGATGCAGAAGTTTTGGATGCCGCTTCCAACTACTTCAACTTTTTATCTACAGATGAAATAGCCAACATGTCAGGATTCTCTTTATCATCTACAGCAACTGCGACGTTAGCAACTGGTGAGGTGGTGGAAAAGACCACTACTGAAAAGCGCGTTTCGTCAGAACAGCGCAGCAGTGAAGAAAGAGTTAAGCGATTTGTGCAAGTGTCTGAGTCAGATCTGGATAGGATACGTGAAAGTCGTGTTCCCGCAAACACCAAACGAGCTACTAAGAACTGGATGCGTGTTTTTGACACTTGGTGTGTGGAGAACAAGAAAACGTGCGACTTGAAAACAATACAAGCGACTGATCTAGCATCTATCCTGAAGCATGCCTATGTTGAAATCCGTCAAGTCAACAAACAGCCGTATTCTAAGAACAGCTTACTGCAGTTTCGGAGTGCCATTCACCGTGAACTGCAAGAGCTGAAGCGCACCATCAATCTCTATACTGATAGTGAGTTTATCGAGGCTAACCAAGTACTTGATGGCTACCTAAAGCAGTTAAAGAAAGACGGCCTGGTAGCACCAACGCAGCACAAGCCTCCCATCTCCGATAGCGACAAAGAAAAGATCTACAAGCACCTCGGTGACTGGAAGACAAATGCGGATCACCTCACCTACCTTGTCTGGTTCGTCATCACTTACCACTTCTGTCTGCGTGGTTCGGAGATTCAGGCGTATCTAACATCCGACGACCTGGATGTGAAGACCAACGACAAAGGCAAAAGATACATCACATTAGCCACAGCATTCGCCCAGAAGAACCAGCAAGGCGGCATTAAAGGAAAGGACACGGTGTCTGATGGGATGATAGTGTCCGACTGGCAGGTGGAAGCCGTCCTACTCCTCACTTCAAAGTTGTCTGTGAAGTCCAAGCGACTCTTTCAGATACCACGCAAACATTACCAGCCAGAGGATGCAGAATGGTACACAGGCCAAGTGTTTGGTAAAAACAAAATCGATGGCATGATGAAGAAGATGAGCGAAACAGCGCGACTAAGCCAGATCTACACCAACCACAGTGTGCGCGCCACCGCCATTACGACCTTGGCTAAGCAAAATGTGAGTGCCACTACAATCATGCGTACTTCCGGCCATCGGAATGCCCAAAGCCTAGACTCGTACTTGCAGCCAAGCGAGCATGACAAGATGAAAACTGCTCACCTGTTGGACGTAGACGCCATTGATGAAGCACTGCAGTGCGCGACTCCGGAGGAACTGCAGGCCTTGGAAGAGCCTCAGGCACCTCCCCCGTCAGCTTCTGTCACTACCAGTTCATCCACGGTGACGTCGGAGAATAGCGCAAAATTCATATTCTCTGGCAACTTCAGTGGTGCCGTTCACATACATGTGAACGATGTGAAGGAACTGCGCTGAAGTTGGCTCGTTTCTGCAATGCAGTGTTCTATTTACATTTACAATTTACAATACTCCATTTCAATCAACTCTTCTATTTCCACTCCTCTATACTTTTCCTTCCTACCCTAGTACCCTATGCTTTACCTAAGTTCAAACTAAACTCTACTGTGGCAATGTAGTTGTGTAGCAGGAAGAGCATGAAGTACGGTGCACATGGTGTGTAGGGTCATATGCATATATGGGATAAGACACATGGTGTGTAGGGTCATATGTGATAAGAAGACACATGGTGTGTACATGGTGTAGGGTCATATGTGATAAGTAGAATATCACCCTCGTAGCTCGGGTGATACCGTACCCTCATATCAATCCCTTCTGCTTCGCAGTCGGGATTGATATTCGCCGGTATCACCCTCGTACTCATGAGATATTCTTTACTTGTAGATTGTGCAATCAGGTTTGGACTCCCGCCTTCCTCAAGGTGTATCATCTTCGCCACGAGGCCATCAATGGTTGCTTTCATTTCTCTAACTTCCCTATCCCTGTCCTCCCTGAGGGAGACCATTTCCACAGTTAATGCAGTGATAGTCAAGGCCAGTGCACTGATAGAGCTCACTAGCGCTGGCTAGGCGCCCGTGTAATATGCCGGCATTTTTTTGAGCATTTTCGGTACAATCCTCGAACCGAGCACTTTGGGCTCGTGATGCAGCATTTTGGGGGAAACAGAGCACTTGGCCGTTGTGTATCAAAATTGAGAGAAGAAAACTTCCCAAACAAGAACGTCACTTCCGCATTCCGTGGGTTAGCTTCTTGTTGAGTAGTTTATGAATTGAAAATAATGGTTTTGACCAGGGAGTCGTAAAATACCGGTATTTTCTGACTCCCTGGTTTTGAGTCTTTTGACGGTGTGTGCTGAGGATTACAAAAAAAGTGAGCTTTTTCGGAACATTTTCGGCAAGGTTTGTGAGCATTTTCGGCAAGGTTTACGAGAATTTCCCAAAAGCATTTCGGCAAAGTTTCGGGCATATTACACCGGGCCCTAGCGCTGGCGCCATGGCATACCTGATTTGCCGATGTCCATGGCGCGAAGTTGAAGTACAAGGTCCGGTCGGGCCAGCGAGTCCACACGTGAAAGTCCTGACTTTCGGCCAAGTCACGAATCTCCCCATCCAGCATCAAGGCCAGGTCCATATTTGAGTTCTCCACCATATCAGGGCTGGGACTTGTTCCAAGGCCACCTATTATTATTATTTATTATTACTTGCATGTACGCGTTGGAGTCAACCATGCAAGCATGATCCACAACTTCGCTTATGCTGAACATGATAAACAGGACTATGACAGGGGAAAAAATGAGCTAGAACGATGATAATAATAATTATGATACTTATATCATATAATATATATTATATACAATGTAGCTCATGGGTATTGAAGATATGTCATTTATGAATATGTCCATAATATGAATATTGCAGCCTTAGGGGCTGTCCGAGGTTACCAATAATATTTTCAAAACGAAATGTTTTCGTTTGTGGGTGGGTGGGTTTGATGGTGTTTCGTTTTGTAAATAATTATTGAATGCTGATTGAGAATGCCCAGTTACTTCTGGATGTCGAAAATTGACATCAATATTTTATTGGAATTCGTTTTACCTGCAGAAAAGGTGGGTGGGTGGGTGGGGGCTGAAAAATACTAAAACTTTTTGTTTTGTAAAAACAATCGGTAACCCCGGACGGCCCCTTAGTGATAATGATAGTGCTATTTCCTGAGTTTGACTGTTTCAGGATCTGTCGGAATATCACAATGCACAGACCCTCATGCATAGATCTCGCCATGCTGGTCTGTCATGGGCAATGGCTCCCAGGCTCTGCAGAGCGTCTACTATTGAACAATCCAGCATTGGCTTGGCGCAGATCTCCCACCATAAAAACTACAGCCGCGAACCACGTAGTGGAAAGCTACAAAACTTCAAAAGATGGCCAACCCATTTTCACATGTACAGACAATTTGCAAAAACGTTCCGAACATTCAGGGAGAAGACATTACTTGCATGACACATTGGCAGAACGAACAAGGCAGACTCGAACATTCCAAGATTCTGCAGCCGTTGCGTTTCAGGTGTTGGGTGGCAGCTCCGTTACTGAGGCCGTCTACAAGTCGTCGAGCTCGGCTAGCCGCCGCCAACTAGTCAGCGCAACCTCGGCCACGCGCTCGCATTAGCTCCATGCCCGCGTTGACGGAGCTCCGGGTGACCAACAAGCCGAACAGCTGCAAGTCGCGACTCCACAATGACACTGGCCGTCCGCGTGCTCTAACACTCCGCTCCACTCGTACTCCATCTTTAGCCGTTTCGCTGCTCGTCAAGCCCTGTAGGTAACTTGATTTCTTGAAGGGTACAGACGTCTATGCCGTAGAAAGAGAGGTACCGACACAAGCCAGTTCCTCTTGACGGCCGACATGAGGCCCCGCACATTGAAAACTCCGACAGCAAATTTTTCTTTTCCTCCGTAAAGCGTTCGTTCATCAGCTCGTACTATTGATTCCCGTCGCATCGTCCCGTCACTAATGTCCAATGAAAACTGCTCCCCAGTTGCGCGAGGAGACTACATTTCCTCCGGTGAGCGAGGAAGAAGAGCGGAGTTACCCAACTCAACCAATAAGTCCACCTATACTTACAAAAAGTGGCCGAAAGGCTATTCCATAGAAGGAAAGGCAGGAGCTAAAAAACTTGCTTCCTACTCCTACGACACAAAAAAATTCAATGTACCTCTCTATAACAATTACATGACCCAGCTGTAATGTGAGTGGTCGCATTGATTTGATTTTTGGTTTGCTTGTAGGCCCCTGGCGCATGGCGCCATGGCACCCACATTCAGTGACCCAGAAAATTTGGCACTGCTGTGAATAGTTTAGTTGGAAAGTGAAGGGGGAAGAGCCCCAAGCTTGGAGGTAGGTTCTTTTTTTTTTAAAGCTTTCAGCAGCCCTGGGCGAGTTCTTTAGAGAAATGTGTTTTTTTCTTGGTGCACTTGTCTATGTCAAGCTATACAACGAGATGAGGATGGTCATTGTCATTTTCTGAGCTGCGAACGGGCAGAAAGGTGAGAAAATGTCAGATTTTGACCATTTGCCCCACCTTTCAATTTCAATGTGCCTCTCTATAACATGACCCAGCTGTAAATTAATGTGAGTGGTCTCTTTGATTTGATTTTTGGTTGTCTTGTAGGCCGCTGGCACCCACATTAAAAGAATCAAGGGTAAAAAGCCCCAAACTTGGAGATAGGCTATTTTTCAGTTTTCAGCAGCCCTGGACGAGCTCTTTAGAGAAATGTGACTCTTTTTCTTGGTGCACTTCCCTATGTCCAGCTATACAACGAGATGAGGATGGCCATTGTCAGTTTCTGAGCTGCGAACAGGCAGAAAGGTGAGACAATATCGAATTTTGATTATTTGTGCCCACCTTTCAATTTCAATGTATCTCTCTGTAACATGACCCAGACTTGTAATGTGACCCAGAAAACGTGGCACTGCTGTGAATAGTTTACCGTACGCGCTCGAATACAAGCCCCCCCCCCCCCCTTCGAGTAGAGCCCCCTCTCAAATAGAGCCCGTGTGTCAGAGGGAATCGGAATAATAAAACCCCTTCTCATCATAATTATAAAAGCCCGGGGCTATATTCGAGTGCGGAATGTCCGTACCACGCAGTGCAGTTACGGGTACTTTATCGTACACTCAAACGCCTCTTATCCGGACGCCTCAGATACGGGCACGTCTCTCTACCGGGCACCTTCAGCTTGAGTTCCTATAGCACAAATGCTTCAAATTTGGGGGTTTTGAACTTTTTTCCGTATGAGGAAGTGCTTATTTTTCACTGCCAACCTATGTAATCCACACATTTTTATCAATGGGTTCCTTTTGTATCCTGAACATGTGCAATACGTTCCAAATAAACTTCTTCAAAATGATATTATGATACATGGTACAGTCAACTTCGCTAATAACGACTGCGGATATAACGACAATTCGCGAATAACGACAGAATTTCCATGCCCAGAGCAAAGTCCCATCTGACTGTATACATTTAACTTCGGATATAACGACTATCTGAATAACGACAATTCGCGAATAGCGACATGATTTTAGTGCCCCGAGGTCATATTCACTGCTTGAATTACGACTTTCTGGCTTTTTTACAGCTATTTCAAGTACCTGTCATGCAGAAGTACCAGAACCCATGGCGATGGATAAGGCACGCATACAAGATTCAAGAAGATACAGCCAGGGGGGGGGGGGGGGGGGGGGGTGCTTTTTCTTTTTTTCTTTTCTTCAAAATAGTTGGAATGATCAGCACACCTATTGCATGGGCGGAGGAACCGGTCCGGCAGGCCCGGCGGTCGCCGGTGCCGGACCAATAATTTTCGATTTTTTTTTTTACATTTCAACCGTGTTGATGGCTTGTCGACTCTTGTACAGGTACTGTACCATGTTTTACATCGACAATGCGGTGTATCATCAGCATGCATATTCTTATTTCTCATATTATTCTGTAGCATTAAAATATAGGCCCAATTCAAAAAAAATCCCTCGGGAGGACCCCCGGACCCCCCCCCCCCCTCTCACAATTTCGCCGCACCGATATAAAACTGCTTCCTACGCCCCTGTATTGTACATGCAGTTGTACATGATTGCACATTAATCTTCATACATGTACATGAACATGTCCCTGTAGATGGCTCCAAAAGGTTAATTTTTCGATTTATTTCCCTTGGATATTGACTTTATTGTTCCTTTCAATTGCAATACGAAAATAAAGTACAAATTGACATAGAGCATGAAAAGAGCTTCATTTCGATATGCATGTCATACTATAAAATATGGGTTCACATACATTCAAATGGGACTTCGGATATAAGGACACTTTTCTGATGCCCCGCCGAATGTCGTTATTCGCAAAGTTGACTGTAGATGAGTTATCCTGAGATACGGGCAAATCTGAGATACGGGCAGTGCCCGGTCCCAAGGTGCCCGGATAAGAGACGTCTGAGTGTACAACGATCGAGTGTAGTCACTGCATGTACTGATCAGCATGAATAGTGTGAAACAATTGGTGTTTCTATTAAAAATAGAGCCCCCTCTCGAATAAAGTCCTCTCTCAAATATAACCCCCCTCGATCGATGTGTCTTCTGGAAAAATAGAGCCCCGGTGCTTCTATTCGCGCCTATACGGTATATTATTATGAATGTGAGACCGCCCGTGCCTGGCGAAGTGATCTGTAGTACCAGGCCGGTCGCTAGTCACGGTGGTCTTTATTTACAGGTTTTACTGTAGGTTATTTTCAGCTTTCAGCAGCTAGCCCTGGGTGAGTTGTTCGTGGAAATGTGGCTCTTTACTTTTGTGTACTACCGTTTGCCCAGCTATTGGAGGAATCCCTCTCTTGTATCCACCAGGGAGAAAACTGTGCCCCAGCAAGAGAAGAGGAAATCAAGCAAGCAGAGGATCAGTGCTGACGTGAATATGAAGAAAGCATTCATTCATCAGTGTGCACAGCGGGCAGCAGCATAAATATTATTATACCATTCCTAGCACAAGACTGCACAGAGTAATTCGACAATGCCACGGTATAGTAGTACAGTACGCCACAATGCAGCTGAATACTTGAACATTTAGAAAAAGAGCTCTGAGAAACTAGCTGAGGTGCCGAAAAAGAGCCGTAGCAACACACTACTGTATTTGATGGCCAGAAAACTGGATAACGCTGTGACCAGTGGGATTGTGATGTACACTAATCAGGGAAGGCAACGATTAGTAGCTATCATCACTATAGCTGTAGGAAAGAAACTCAGCGATGATCCGCTTCATGAGACGCTTGAGCAAAGCCAGTGGTCAGGTGGCAAGAATGTGGCTAGTGCATACAAAGTAAACACTGAGCAGTGAGCCGGCGCAGTGAGCCTGGTCAACATGCCTAGACACAGTAGTTTAGCGTAGAGAAGAGGAACTGCACACATGGTGTATGTTCATAGGGACTGTGCTGACCGCAGCTGACTGGGGCTGGCCAATATTGGCTAACAGTGGCTGTGCAGATAGCAATGCAGGTAGCAATGCTCTACACCTCCAGCCAACTGCACTGGTGCACCACACCAGTCCGCTCTTGTGCATACGATAGACATACTGGCCATCACAACATACAGGTAGCACGTGAGCTCGGAGTTGAAATTCCTGGCCACACCTTGACCGTACATAATGCTGTGTTGTTGTCGTTGTCGTCATCGTTGTTGTTGCCTCAACGTGGGTAGCAAACTTGAAAAAGGTCACAATCTAGTGGCATCGTGTGCCTGTGCACTTCAGCTACACATTTTAGCAAAATGAGGCCGGCACTGCTCTAGGTTGGAGCGGAATCCTGCCCGGGCGTCCTCAATTGTCAGTGTGTCGCTGGCGGTAAGTGCTGCCTCTAGTACCTACAGGCACAACAATGCAGGAGCACAATGATTGGGATCCATAGATTTAGCTTGTTGCCATATGGAAAACTGAAAGGGACAAGCTGGGAGAACAGGCATGGAGAGATTGCTAGCAGTGCACTCTACCATTCATGACCATGCACTTGGGGTACAGTTTTCTTGCAAGGCAATGACAGCAACTACACAATACAAACGTCAGCACCAGACACTGGCCGTGTGAAGCAAATCTCCATTTCGATAGTTTGTACAACGCTAATAACTTGTGCAATGCAATCCCACCACCCCACTGACAGTTGCACATATCTGTCTGCAGCCTATGTGACTATCAATGTTGATGTTGGTGGTACAGGTAGACTCCCTCTAATTCGAATATTCCGTGAAACTAGAACTTGTTCGTCGCACCGATCTTCTGCAAGTCACTTGAAGTCAAATTCGAATGCGTAATTCGAAGTATGAAAGTGACTATGTCTTTCAAACGCTTATTTCGAAGTGAGATGGAATTGCTATACTTGTAATTCGAAGTTCATTCTTTTCACCTTCTCTAGCCAGGAGTAGTTCAAAAATCGATCCCTTGTCTGCTCCAGGATCGACGATAGCGTTCAAAAACCCACCCTGGCTCAAAATTTGATTCAAGTCCGTTTCGGAGGCAAAGTGCAAAGAAGGTTTGATTGAAGACTACTTCTGCCAGGTGGCTGACTCCCTTCGCGGACCTCAGTGGCCTTTCTTGCCGGGCCATGGCGCCAGCTTGTGCGCAGAGATGCTTGCGAACAGCAACACTATTGACTGGAAGTTGTAAATTTGCCTATGCTCCACTTCCATTCTTCAGAACGACGTGCTGCTGTCCAACGGGCTTTCATGATGCGGATTAGGCAGCGCTGCTCTTTTCCGTCGAAATTGTTTCAGGACAGCTGCAGTGACTGATAACTTCTTCACTAGAAGATGAAGATAATATCAATGACTTTGTGTCCAGTGTTTAGATGAAGTGAACTGGTGAGTTGAAGATGCAAAAATGCAAAAAAAATTACAAAATGTGCAAAACACAGCATGCGATTTCGAGCATCTTGACATACATCATAATCACTACAAGGTGCTGCATTCGGATGATTAGAAGTTCCCGATAATTCGAAGTCGGGGCCTGGCAATTTGATGTTCGAATTAAAGCCAGCCTACCTGTACTATAATCAGGGCCCCTGTTTCCGGACAGAAGAACCTCTCACAGGCTTCAATGCCAAAATTAACTCAAACATCTCTATATGTTGTGTGATTCGAATCTGGTGAAATAGAACTAACAGCGCTTCAATCAATAGCAAGACCGTAGATGCGTACTGCGCGTGACAAGTATTGGTGTATTGTGCAGTGTGTGCAATGATATGTGTAGCACAAGAACTGACCTGTTTCTCTAAGTCGTCAACAGTAAGTACTGCCACTGCGGTGTGAGATGACATTGCCAAACTATGGGCTGACAGCAAAATAGTATAGCACCATGGGAAACCAGTACCTGCATAAACCAGAGAGAGAGAGAGAGAGAGAGAGAGAGAGAGAGAGAGAGAGAGAGAGAGAGAGAGAGAGAGAGAGAGAGAGAGAGAGAGGGGGGGGGGGGGGAGGGAGGGAGAGAGAGAGAGAGAGCAGAGAAGAGAGAGAGAGCAGAGAAGAGAGAGAGAGAGATCAGAGAAGAGAAGAAGAAAGGAGAGAGAAAGAAAAGTGCGCTGCTCTGTTCTGCTCTCCATACATCTTGTTTGTGTTTTTAATCGTTCGCACCTTCAAATGAGTGATAAGACTCTGGCTTCCTTGACCAACCAAAGCAAGGCAGGCTCTGAGTGGCTGAGACTGCTTGACCAACCAGGGCAGACATTGCATCCAGGGCCTGAGCAGCCTGCCCTGCTTTGGTTAGTCAAGCAAGCCAGAGTCGTATCACTCATTCGAAGGTGTGAACGATCCGTAAAAACACAAACTACATGTATGGAGAGAAGAGGAGAGGAAGAACAGTACACAGGCCAGTGTTCAAGCCTGGGGCTGCACAGTGCCCGGCGTGACATTTACTTGCATGATGGGATTTCATTGAGCAGCAGCAAGCAGACGCAAGGCTGAGGACCCACTTTAAAGGAGATGCTAAGGCAGGAAATCCCCAATTTGAAACATTTTCTTACCCTTCAATCCTCTTTGTGCCTTTCCACACTGCTTGGTACCCTAGTTGGAGTGTTATTACAGCAAGAGTACATAACATCCAAGAGTGTGCAACTGCCTGCACAACCTCGATCTAGTGCTGCACCAGCAGAACTTCACATCACGTGACAAGGTTGAGGAGGTTATGCTGGCAAACAGTGCAAAATGACCAGCAAAGAGTTGAACCCAAAGCAGGGTTGCATACAACCCTGTATCTATCATGCACAGGGTGCAAACATGTGTTCAGGTTTGTCATGTGATGTGAAGTTCTGCCGCGGCAGACCCCATAGCTGGAGTTGCACACTCTTGTGGAATATGTACTCTTGATTACAGGCGTCTACAGCCGTAAAGCATCATTGACATGAGTAGTATGACACCCATGGTAGGCGATCAATCTGGTCAGAATCAATACAAGTACAGTCTCCAATGCTAGTACAGTCTCCTTTAGTAGTACAGGGCTGGCCACCTTTGAAAAAATGCGGACCACTGACAAACTCGTTCCTCCGGCCCTGGGTGAGCAACACATCCATACCTTTATCCTTGACGTCTGCTTCCAGTTCGCGCGCAATGCTTCGGAACTTATCGAGAGCAGGATCCAACGATGAAGCATCATCACCGTCATCACTATCATTGGAATCAGAGCTGGATTCAGAACTGCCTGAGCTGTCAGACTTCTTGGTTGACTTTGTGCTTGACTTAACTCCGTTTGCTTGACAGGATTTGGGCTTCGCTGCCATCGCTGCAGGCTTTGTTTCTGCTTCGCTCTCGGAGTCGGAGCTAGAGTCACTGCTACTGCTACTGCTGCTGCTACTACTACTACTGGAGTGAGCTTTCTTGCTTTTCTTGGAAGCTGGCACGGCAGTGTCGCCTTTCGATTTCCGCTTGACGGCAGCAGGCTTCTTCTTGTGCTCTTCTCCGTCGTCAGACTCTGAGCTTGAGTCACTGCTGCTACTGCTGCTACTGGCTGCTGCTTTTCTCTTTGTTGGAGTTGCCTGGCTCTTAGTGTTGTCAGCAGTTGGTGTGTCCGGACTAGCCTACAGCAGACACAGACACATGCACAGCAGCATATCACAATCAAGGCAGGGAATACATGTACAGTGTACGGGATTCATACCGCAGCTTGCACATCAATTTGTACAGATTGCTATAGAACTTGGGTGTCAAGAGGGAAATTGGCAAAGCAGTGAGTGGGAATTAGAGTTGCTTATCAAAATCACGATTGCATGTGTGACATAATGCAATGCAGTTGCCATGCAGTATAGACCTACATAGTCCGTAGGCCATGGTCTGGATAAACTTTGGAACCACACCCTTCTTCACAGATTCTGCCTAGATGCTCATCAATTACGTTCTTGTCCTCTACCCTAGTCCGAATCCTGCCTTGCCCAGGTATGACTCTCATGAAATGGCTGTATTAAATAGTCTATAGAACAAGCATATTAATTTGATATCATACTTCTCTCATCAACTATAACAATACCCATTTCATACCCCCCCCCCCCTTCATAAAATGAATAATTACTCTTTTCTTTCCTTTCATTTCATCTTCATACACACTAAAGAAAAGAAAAAAACAACAACCCTGACTCTCGTACTCTCATCTCACTGGCAGTCCACTTTCCCCAGATCGCTTATCAAAGTGAATGGTCGTTTACCAATTCTTGTTTCCACTAGTACGCATTGCAAATCAAAGGACCAAGAGTAAATGATTCCCTGAAAGAGTACATAAAGGGCTGGCCCGGGACATCCGACCACTCACTTGAGAAAACTGCATCAGGAGTTGAACCGTGCATGTCTGAACTAAACTGGGTTGCACAGCTGCAGGGCATGATGGGCTGCTTCACTCGGGGGTGCTAACAGTGCTACCAGTGCACCACTGGCGGGATTAGGCTGGCCAGCACTGTACATGTCCAGACAGAAAAAGACAGTTTTGTCCGGTATTTTTTGCCACTGGGCCTATCTACAAGTGCATGCATACTGGCACCAAGAGTACATAACCCCCCCCCCCCCCCCCCCGAGTGTGCAACGCCTGATCCAGCTCTGCATAGGGTCTTGGTCGAGCGTAATCGGATCTTTGCGTCATAATACCGTACACACCTGAGGGGAACCTGGGGAATCGCGGGTACTCTCGGATCAAAAACAACGGTGCTCTGCCTCGAGACTGGCCTTGCGCTGGTGTGGAGTGTACGCATGACATCAGAAGATCCGATTACGCTCGACCAAGACCCTATGCAGAACTGGATCAGGCGCTGCACACTCTGGGGGGTTATGTACTCTTGCTGGTACTGCATAGTACATGATGCTTCACACACCCACACACACACACACGCACACACACACACACACTCATACTCCTGCCCATCGCTGAAGCGATGATAGCGAACAAGCTATGTTAGACATACTGTAAAAGCCATTATTCTAACGAGGCGCATATATAACGATTTCCCAAAATTGACTAGTTTACGTGTACCAAAGGTAACGATTCTCACTCATTCTCAACGCTCAATAGGACAGTATATGTATCGATTTCTGTATAACGATTTCTATTTTAACGACAGATTTCTCCTCGTTAACTCGTTAGAGTTAGCACTTCGTTATATATATGGCTTTTACAGTAACAACTTGTGCCGGGATTACACCATGCAACAGCTTGTAAGGCTGAATTGACCGCCACTAATTTTAGTCTGGTCTACTCCACACAGCTGTTTGAAGTGGCTTTTTCTGGCCAGTGAATCCCTATAACAGTTATTTCACTTTTCATTTTTATTTTTACACACACCACACCACGTACTCGGACATGCACTGACACACACACACACACACACACACACACACACACACACACACACACACACACACACACACACACACCAGCCACCTTGACAAAGCCAGTCTCAGGAGTAGACCATTTACAGAGTATAGCACAGGTATACGCACACTTGGATACACCAGTGTACGTCCTTGCGCATAATCAAACACACCTCCACACTGTCACATGCACGTGTACAGAAGGAACAAGACTTACAGCTGGCGGATTGGCTGCCTCGGAGAACACCTCCCAGAGCTGGTCCAATATCTGAGTTGAGTTTACCCGGAGACTGCTGCGACAGAAGTTCTGCAGCAAAGTACAAAAGAACATGTTCAGGGTTGCCACACAATTCCAATTGAAAATCAGTAAGATTAGATCTCCACATCCTAACACCCAAAAATTAGATCTCCACACCCTAACCCCCTACAATCAAAACATGGGCTCCATCCAGGGCTTTGCCCCAGACCCCTGTAATCAATTCTTTGCCTATGAAAGCAGCACCTTCTCAGATACATGATACCATACAAACGCGACCAACCATGAGATGCTTTGGTAAATTTAAAATGGCTAAATGGCCTTCCTGGCGGTGATGGCGACCCCAAAGCACAATGGCCTTTGCCAGGCGTAGTTCTTGATAACCTACCTGAAACTTTGCCTTCTTTCTTGGCACATTCGGGTAGCCCGTGATCTTCTCAAGTAGTGAACGCAGTTGCGGTGTTGTACCGGGCTTTTGGGCAGCTGCTTGCACACGCTGTAGCGGTTGATGGCACGTGCACACACACACCGACACGCACACACACACACACACACATGCAAGTATGCACGCATATTCAAATCACGCATATACCGTATGTCCACACCTTTAAAGCCATGGTGGTATATTCGATTATAAAGCCAGTCTCAGTTATAAAGCCATGGGCTTCATAAATGAAATGACATTTGAAGTATGTTTTGTAAAAATGGAGGAATAAGTACTATGCTTACAAACTTACAGACCAGCAGGACGGGTGAACAAGTGGGTTTAGATTGAAATTTCTGTGTGGACTGACTTTTATGGCATGGCGTAGTGGGTGAGTCATTTTGCATCTAAAATATCTAGGAAAGCAGCGGTGTTTCGAATATAAGGCCATGGCGCTGACATACGGTAATAACATTAGAGGGCTGCTCTCTGAAGACAGCCTAGTGTGTGAAACAAACACTTGTTTTGTCCCATTAGTAACCTGTGTACTGGCAGCACAGCCATTGCACTAAACTAACCCATGGACTGGTAGCACAGCCATTGCACTACACTAACCCATGGACTGGTAGCACAGCCATTGCACTACACTAACCCATGGACTGGTAGCACAGCCATTGCACTACACTAACCCATGGACTGGTAGCACAGCCATTGCACTACACTAACCCATGGACTGGTAGCACAGCCATTGCACTACACTAACCCATGGACTGGTAGCACAGCCATCGCACTACACTAACCCATGGATTGGTAGCACAGCCATTGCACTACACTAACCCATGGACTGGTAGCACAGCCATCGCACTACACTAACCCGTGTACTGGTAGCACAGCCATTGCACTACACTAACCCATGGACTGGTAGCACAGCCGTTGCACTACACTAACCCATGGACTGGTAGCACAGCCATTGCACTACACTAACCCGTGTACTGGCAGCACAGCCATTGCACTACACTAACCCATGGACTGGTAGCACAGCCATTGTACTACACTAACCCATGGACTGGTAGCACAGCCATCGCACTACACTATGTACATGTTATCTCAGGGCATGATAACCTTGTGAACAATTCGTAGTATTGCCTTGTGGAGAAGCATGAAATTCCAAAGAAATGATTGCGTACAAGTTAGAAAAGCGCTATCAGCTACAATGCTGTTGACATATTCAATGTATACTCAATGCAACGCAACATCACGGCGGTCTACATAGTGTGCAAGGGCTTAAGCACGCCAGGCATGAAGGAGATTTTTGGCACTTTACTTCTTTCGCTGCGCACTACTGTATTGTGTGTGTGTGTGTGTGTGTGTGTGTGTGTGTGTGCGTGTGTGTGTGTGTGTGTGTGTGTGTGTGTGTGTGTGTGTGTGTGTGTGTGTGTGTGTGTGTGGGTGCGTGTGTGTGCGTGTGTGTGTGTGTGTTTCTGAACAACCTTCGATCTTTACAAACTGTCATAGTTATTCCAAGCTACTCTGATTTGTCACTGGAGTCACATAATGCACTTCGAAGTAGTTGCTGTTGTACCCTAGAGTTATTCCGTCGATCTGGGGAGACCAAAATGCCTGTGACAATTACCGGTAGGAAATATTCTCATGCACATTTGGTAAGAGTGTAAAAATATCAGGTCAGGTAAATGACTAAATGATAAAGAGAACGGAGAGGGAGCTAGACATAAAAGCGGAGCTACCGATCGTTGACTGCATTATTACCTTTCCTTTAGCTCTGGATCTAGAGGTTGAAATAAAATTCCGACTTTTGGCACTGTGTTCCTCATAATGATGCGGCTGGAAATGCCTTGCACTACATCCGTGCAGTTGCAGGTTGGCATACAAGCATGAATTCACTCAAGCATTGACTCAGTTTCTAACGTCATACAGTTGCAGCCTAAACGCCATGTAAATACAGTCAACTTCGCTTATAACGACATTCGGCGGCGCATCAAAAAAGTGTCCTTATTCGCGAAGTGTCGCTATACCCGAAGTCTCATTATATGTATTACAGTTGGAAGGGACTTTGCTCTGGGCATGGAAATGCTGTCGTTATTCGCGAATTGTCGTTATATCCGCAGTCGTTATTAGCGAAGTTGACTGTATTGTAAAATTATCATAGGTGGCAGATTGGATATTGATTTCATGAATTGACTTCATGGGTGACATTGTCTATACTCACCTCCAGCCACTCGTCCTGTTTCTGTTGGCCTTTGGGCACTTTGCCACCCTTCGGCGTCTGATAAAGCGCACCCTGGTACTTCTCCGCCTCAGTGATGCAGGATGTGTGTTGCACGTAGGCTTCTCCAACGAAGTCCTTTCCGCAGTCGAGACACGACAGAACACTGCAACCCCTACACTCCTGTTGGTAATGCTTCTCCACTTTGTTCTTACGAATAGTCTGCCCACAGGCATCGCACGTGAAGGAGACCATGTCGGGCTCCTCGTGTGAGTTGCAACACGGAGAAGGTACTAAACACTGAAGGCTCAAAGGGGTAGAGCTATTCTACCAAGCAAGTATTTGCTCAGTATCATCAAGTACAGTACTACTAGTATTTTGACGATTCCCGGGATTCCCTCGCCCATTTTTGCGAATTGGCGACGCCATATTTGTTGCCCTGAGTAACACGATTTTCGACACAAGTCGACGTCAAGTCTTGATTTGCATGATGCACGAGGCTGCGCGTGCGAGGGATCGATCGGGAGTCGTACTCGATCGTATCTACATACCCCGGGCCCAAACCAGTACAGGCAGGAATAGTTGTAGATGTACTGACTCAGTTACAAAACTAATTTTAATATGCACCACTTTTTTTACATCCATGTACAATGTCGATCTGCCAGGGAGTAGTAACATACTACTCTTCATACTACAAGTACAGGTATTTTTTACTACTCTCTGATGGCATTGATGCTCACTGTGCTGCATCATCAGCCTGCAGAGCCCTACATATATTACATACCGATAGTGGTATCATGTGTAGATAATAATGGCCTGTTCGAGTGCATCCATTGCAAGAAAAGGGTGTCTGTGCATGTACCATGTGTACAGATACTTGTACACAATATAATAGAACCATAACAATGTCACAGTGTTACCGGTATGTACAATGTGATGTGGATGCGACTGAGCTCTGATGCAGAATTATAAAATTGTAGTACACATTACATGTATGTATGTGTACCGCGTACAGTCTCTCCGTGTGTACTTGAAGCATTAGAAGTTATAACCTCATTCAAGGTTGCTATTGTATGCAGATACTCAAGCCAAGGATACACCGGAGCCAGCCTGAGGCCACAGGCATGGCACGCGGCAAGAGAGAACAAAGTGTTGCAAGCCGTACATCAACACATGCGACACGATCGCGTTTTGCAAAGAAGTCATTCAATGGAGCAAAATAAAAATTAATAATACTATGAGTTGTACACCATGGCGGGAATGCAAGCGGCGGTAGGAAATCAGCAGAAGAAAGAAAGTCTCCACGGATATTTTATGTGCTTTGACCAACAGACGGGCTAGCGACAAGGGTGACACACTCTAAAATGAAAACAAAATAGAAGGTGAGCTAGTTTGATGCGTGCTACCCGCCTGAAGAAATCATAGCCAGTAGAAGAGTTTTTAACCTACTAGAGTAGTGTATTATGCATTAACTATTCGAATACCAGCGAATGCAGTGTTTGCGGTAAGGAATCCCCATGATTGCCATTCAATCATGCAGCAAAGCCTTGACACACAGCTGCAGACACTGTGCGTTTCATGACACCGTCCATGCTATGATACGGCAACCTATTCACAAGGCTAGACGCGAATCCAAGCTAGACAAAGAGCGTAAAAAGCTACAGCAAGTGAAAAACTAAAAAACACAAGAATATATACAAGTAGAAGAAAGCCATTGACTTCCCTCTATTGTTTCACCACACAAGATCAGAATGCTAAGAACGGCACAATGATAGAAAACGCGCATGACTGCAACACTAGAGTCAATAGACTCCAGCGTTCAGAAGTAGCCGGCAGCGAAGGTCTGCCTGGAATCGCCATAATCCCAATGGAGAAGATAACGTCTTACAAGTGGACTGCTGCACAAGTACAATGTAGATAAGCCAGCCATCCATAACAAGAGAGCATCCATACACCATAATAGAAGGCACGAACTACAGCCCACATATCCATACAAATGTGTTGAAGGGGCTACATCATGAGCAATGCCATCACATGCCATGGCCAGCCAGGCATTGTATGACATAGTGTGGCAAGTCAGGCACGGCATGACATAGTGTGGTCATGCCTTGGCAAGCCAGGCATTGTATGACATAATGTGGCCATGCCTTGGCAAGCCAGGCACGGCATGACATAGTGTGGCCATGCCATCGATACAACTACAAGGCAATGCTAATCGTGCATGTTTGTGTGCGCATGTGTGCGTGCATGCCTGCATGCCTGCATGTGTGTGTAGGGGGGGGGGGATACGTGTGTGGGTGTGTGCTTGACAGGCATGTACTAAACCATCTGCTCAAGTCCCTGGATCAACTGGAAGCGCATATCCACTCCACAGCATTCACACATCCGTGGAGTGCATTGCAGGACGGAACTTCCAGCGTTCACCATCTTTCTCAAAGTGCTGCAGCATGACAACACACAACACACACACACACACACACACACACACACACCATCACACACACACGCACGCACATACACACACACACACACACACACACACACACACACACACACACACACACACACACACACACACACACACACACACACACACATTCACGTAAGACAAGAAGAACAGCCGAAAATTGCCAGCAACATGTACCAATATCTGTCAGCGGTGCTCGCCAATATCAACTGAAGTCTGCTGGGGGCATGGAAGTGGCGCAGGTTTGACAAGAGTGTAAAATACTGTTTACGCTGTGTCGCGGCCCAGCTGGAGTTTCAGCAGGGGACGGGAAGTAGATCAAGGCTGCCAAGGTCAGCACGATGTACAACAATGCGAACGATTAGACTTGGCATGCCGGATTGTGCTGCATATTTTCATCCCCTGCCACACCTGCTGGCATGACTTTGTATTGCGTACAGCAGTGCATGCGCCAGTTCAACACGTGTATTTTGACATAGATGATGAAGTCCCTTCACAGGTAGAAATTTGACAGGGGGCAGATCAACGGTACTGTACGGTACTTACATGACCGGCCTTGCTCATGCAGCAATTGCACACAACCCACAGGCACTATCATGCAGTCATAGCAAGTAATGTTACTGTAAGTCAACAAATATTCGGCGCAAATTTCGTTTTGCAAAGTTCAGTGTGACAGTGTATACAGGCAGCAGCAGCAGCAGCACAGGCCGAAATTGAAATGGGACCGAAATGTGTTATAGCCCTGGGAGACCGACATTGAAATGGGACCGAAATGTGTTACTGTAAAAGCCATATATATAACGAAGTGCTAACTCTAACGAGGAGAAATCTGTCGTTAAAATAGAAACCGTTATACAGAAATCGATACATATACTGTCCTATTGAGCGTTGAGAATGAGTGAGAATCGTTACCTTTGGTACACGTAAACTAGTCAATTTTGGGAAATCGTTATAATATGCGCCTCGTTAGAATAATGGCTGGTTTACAGTATAGCCCTGGGCATGGGCCGAATTTGAAATGCGCCGAAAAATTGTGGACTTACAGTATACACTGTCTGTTATCTCTTATAGGCGACGGTGCCATCGTGAGAATACAGAATTCAAAAAAATTCAAAACTGCACACCTCAAATCACTCTAAATCAGCTATATAAAAAGAAGCACCAAGAGGCGTTAATCAGCATGAGGACATAAAACACAGTGGTGTAACAGTGAGAGACTTTACCTTAGGTTTCCACTCAGTTCCTGTGGCAGCCCTCTGCTCAGCCTGCTCTCGCTGCTCATCCTCCAGCTGTGTGTGACACAAGCAAAGAGAGCGGATACAACACAAAGTGTACTCATGCTACTGTAGTAACTGCACCAGGCACTGCACTGGGCAAAGAACTGAAAGAAGACTGGGCCGCAAAGAACTGAAAGAAGAGCGCACACTAAAAACCACCTGTAGCACAACAGCAGAGAATGCTAGCACTGGTGGTAAAACCATACGTACACGTCATCACTTGGGCACACGCGCATGCACTTCAGAGTACAGCACCCACTGAACTGCTGCTTGATCAAAATTAATACTGGAGACAAGGCTCCATGCCTCTGTTTGATTCCAGCATCACTACTCAGCAGCTCTAGCTGGTGAACGCCAAACATACACAAAAACCTGCAGCTATGGGAAACAAACTGCAAGATCCTCCACTGCACTTACAGTATTCTTATGCATTGTCGCTAGCTTGTAGTCTCCTTCCTTCAGCGCAGCCGTTACTCTTCTCCATGCCCTACACACATAGCACAGTGCAACACACTCTCATAGTCTCTTCTCCATGCCCTACACACATAGCACAGTGCAACACACTCTCATAGTCTCTTCTCCATGCCCTACACACATAGCACAGTGCAACACACTCTCATAGTCTCTTCTCCATGCCCTACACACATAGCACAGTGCAACACACTCTCATAGTCTCTTCTCCATGCCCTACACACATAGCACAGTGCAACACACTCTCATAGTCTCTTCTCCATGCCCTACACACATAGCACAGTGCAACACACTCTCATAGTCTCTTCTCCATGCCCTACACACATAGCACAGTGCAACACACTCTCATAGTCTCTTCTCCATGCCCTACACACATAGCACAGTGCAACACACTCTCATAGTTGAGTGAGCTGAACTTAAAACTGATCATTCCCAGGAGGTTGTAAATCTTTTAAACAAACTACATGTACATGTACATGACTGCAGCCAGATTTAATAGGGAGGTTTCGCTCTACAGAATTACATATGAAAATAACGTATGAACTGCACGGAATTTTCATACGTAAAATCAGAGCTGTTGGGTTTCGCTCTACGTGATTTCTCCACGACTGCTAAACATGCGTTGTTGCTTTGGAGACGCGTTGCTGCATGCGCCCACCGCATGCACCATGAACCGAAACCGTGTTTTCCATTATATTTTGCACGTGGTGTACTGTGTGTGTACCTTGTGTTTCGCGCGGCTTGAATGTTGCCATGGACAAATGCAGAAAATGCGAAAAAAATATTTCAAAAAGTCCTACGGAGGACCCAACGTAGGAAAGAGCTTTCCTACGGAAATCCGTAGAGAGATTTACGTATGAAAGTTGCCCCCGCTCCCCGGCGCGTATGACATACGGATTTTCATCCGTAATTAGGGGTCGTCCATAAATATCGAACTTTTTTCACAAAACGAAATAATTTCGTTATGGGGTGGGAGGGGGTTGACCAATTTCGTTTCAGAAAACATTGATTCATGTACATGGCCATTGTCTATGCATGTATGTCAACATTTTTTTACGTTCTGAGGGGGAGGGAGGGAAGGGTTGGGTCTAAACTAAAATAATTCGTTTGGTGAAAAAAGTTCAATATTTACGGACGGCCCCTTACGTAGAGCGAAACGTCCCTAATATCAGTGCTGTATAACAACGACAGCGGCTGAACATGTGAGCTTGTGCAGGAATCGTATCCAGAAGCAGTACATCTCAGGAACATCATGGTTACCTGCGAGATTCCATCTTGGATTGGTTTTTCATGGGCTGCACAAGTTTCTTGCTGTGCGAAAGGTGCGTGATGTCCATGACTTCAGTCTCCTAAGAGCAAAAAATAAACATCCATCCACGCATGCATAGGCATAGTCATGAACGTACGGACATGACGACAACAACAACAACAACAACAACAACAACAACAACAACAACAACAACAACAACAACAACAACAACAACAACAACAACAACAACAACAACAACAACAACAACAACAACATCTCTTATTGGCCACTGGCTATCGTGAGAATAAAGATTTGAAACAACAACAACAACAACATCTCTCATTGGCGATGGTGCCATCGTGAGAATAAAGAATTCAAAAACAACAACAACCACAACAACAACAACAACAACAACAACCACAACAACAACAACAACAACAACAACAACAACAACAACAACAACAACAACAACAACAACAACAACAACAACAACAACAACAACAACAACAACAACAACAACAACAACAACAACATCTCTTATTGGCCACTGGCTATCGTGAGAATAAAGATTTGAAACAACAACAACAACAACATCTCTCATTGGCGATGGTGCAATCGTGAGAATAAAGAATTCAAAAACAACAACAACCACAACAACAACAACAACAACAACAACAACCACAACAACAACAACAACAACAACAACAACAACAACAACAACAACAACAACAACAACAACAACAACAACAACAACAACAACAACAACAACAACAACAACAACAACAACAACAACAACAACAACAACAACAACAACCAACACGAGTTACCCCTCGCACGTACGTCAGTGCTTTCTATAATACAAAGTTGTTGGACACCTATTTGTCCTGGCAACCAAGCCATACTTGGACATGTGCTGTGCACGAGTACTGACCTAAGCGAAATACTGTACTACAATGTTTGCATCCCTGGCCCAGACTACTCAGTCCCAATAGTTACGGAAAGAAAAAAAGGGAAACATATTAGCACAGTCATCTACTCGAGATAAAAGAGTGCATTGCAGGTCAAAATTGAAGTCTACCATGAAAACAGACGAGGAAATGGGGGCAAAAAGAACAGAAAGCATGCTGCATCTGAAACAGCTTTTGTAGTCCAAACATACAAGCACAATACAAGTGCACACACAATTAGGGCCGTTGGTGAAGTGACAGAAGACTCTTCTAAGTCTTCTTCTCCATCATTTGCTGCAAGCTGTTTTCCTTACCCCATTATCGTGTGTTGTGGTCAATATGCCATCCCAGCGTCCACTGATCTTGCACACTGCTGCTGATCCAGCTTGTGGCCTGCAGTGGTCGGGGGAAAGCACGGACAGTAGGCACAAGTCATGAGCTGGGAATATGCAACACGGTAACGGTTGAGTAGGCATATTTTCAATTTGACTACTGTACAAGCAAAAAGCAACACATGCGTGGTGGTGGTGGTGGTGGTGCAGGTGGTGTTCCTACGGATGCGGAAAACTCTGGTCTGACTTGGTCGTACGCGGACAGTGAATTTCTTCAAGTTGTGCGTGTGTGAAATGATCTGCACCTATAAATGTAGTCATTGAGCACTGGGTGTTTGGAAAAAGCCATTGCATGGTGTAGTGGCCTGACTTCTGGTGAATATATTCGCCACCAAGGAAAGTTGTCTGGATGCCTATGGCACTGTGTTCTGTGGGCAAGAGAGTAGGGATACTGAGCACCTGCTATTTGGTGTGTCATGCACAGTATTGGACATCACGATAGAGGCTCACCGGATTTCAGCTGAGACCTTGTTATATTCATCACCATAACTAGGCTGTACCCGACAGGTAATAGGCAGCAACACACACACACACACACACACACACACACACACACACACACACACACACACGCGCGCGCGCGCACATACACACACGTGCACATCCATGCACGCACGCACACACACACACACACCACACACACACACACCACACACACACACACACCACACACACACACACACACACACACACACACACACACACACACACCACACACACACACACGCACGCACGCACGCCCACACACGCACACGCACGCCCACACAAACACATGTCCGGACATCACGTACAAATCACACACAATCAGTGCGCACGAAAACATCCTGGTTATAAAATATTCTGCACAGGCGATTCAGACACAGAGACCTGTATATCCACAAGCATACAAGTCATACATCAAAACATCCCCCCCCCCCCCCCCCCCCCACACACACACACATGGACGCCACCCCCGTGCATGCTTACCCACCTACTCACACCCACATGAACGCATGTGCACACGCATGTCAGTGATAGTAGCTGGTAGCCAGCAGTAAGGCGGCATACCTTGGCAGGAAAGGTAATGGTAGCTTGGTATGCACTCTGTGGGCATGTTACTTTGACTCGTCCATTGAATTCAAGCCATGGGTTTGTCAAGATAGAGCTGAAAGCCATCATCGAACCATCGCAGAACAAACAAAAACATGCGCGCACACACACACACACACACACACACAACACAACACACACACACACACGCGCACACACACACACACACACACACACACACACACACACACACACACACACACACACCATTGGACCATTGAACGCCCATCGCCAAAGGCGATGATAGCGATGATAGCGATGCTACAGCAGAAGCCATAGCAGCTTGTGCTGGGATTGCACCATTCAACAACTTGCAAGGCTGAAGAATTGACCGCCACTATTCAGCCTGGTCTACACCACACAGCTATGAAGTGGCTTTTTCTGGCCAGTGAATCCCTACTTTTTGGTCTTTTTTCATTTTTTTCCGCACACACATCACACCACATACTCCGGCATGCACTGGCTGTTGGTAACCACCCAGGAGGATGAAAGAAAAGTCAGGAGGAGTCTGAGAAAGAGAAGAAAGACGTGTGACACACACACACACACACACACACACACACACACACACACACACACACACACACACACACACACACACACACACACACACACACACGTGAAGTTGTGAGCCATACGTAAAAGTACCACTGTCAGATTAATACAATTACTACAAACGCTGCATGGATAGTTGCATGCATAGTTGCATGGTTGCATGCCATACCTAACACCGGCATACATCACTGCAAATGTTATAGAGCGCTGCGCATGCATGCATGCACCATGGCAGAAATATCAGAGAAGGAACACCGAAAAGCGTGATCTTCATAGAAGTATTATTATTATTATTTATTCTTCTTTTACTAGGGAATTCCCAACAGGCGTCAGCGCCTTTTTACAGGGAACCCTAGGTATAATGTTATATTAGTTCATACTCTGTTTGTGTTTGTGTGTCCTGCACAGCACTTACACTAGCTATCAGCATAGCGTTGTTATCGCTACACTGTATCACGTGACCCCAGCGGTGGGATGCCACTTGCCACCACTGCTCGTGCATGTACATGCACATGCATTAACAATGCTGGATGATCTGCACAAACCTATCAGAACCAGCATGACTGAGAGACTCACAGTTACCTCACTTCTACTGCATGGCAACCCACGAGCATGTAGCAGACTTTTAAAGCCTGGTGTGCTCCACAAAAAAAACTTTTTTTAAACTCCAGCCAATATGCTCTTTATAGAATCGCAAAGATTAGCTTGTATGGCTGGTTTAGGATCCGACAAGTGGGTGAATTTGTGCTACCAGGGCGCTGCCGGAAGGTGTGCCTGATCAATTCCAGTGTTTCAGTACTCACCGGCAATACACACTGGGGAATGTGAAGATGTAGTCCTCGTTGTGTGCTGACACCGTCAAACAGCCTGAGAACACACACACACATGCATGTACACACACACACATGCACACGCACACGCACACACACACACACACACACACACACACACACACACACACACACACACACACACATGCACACACTGGTTAGTTGAAGGCTGTGTAAGGCCTGTGTATGTGCGTTCCATGTGTGCGTACCTGTGTGTCAAGTTCCACAACCTATTAAATGAAGAGCAAACACAGGCAACACAGTGTGGGTACATTCTGATAGGCAGCACACCGTGTGTGCGTGCGTGCCTGTGTGTGTGTGTGTGTGTGTGTGTGTGTGTGTGTGTGTGTGTGTGTGTGTGTGTGTGTGTGTGTGTGTGTGTGCGTGTGTGTGCGTGCGTGCGCGTAAAACGCATGTGGAGGATATGCATTGCTTACCTTGTCCAGAGATATCCACACCAGCACTCATGCCCAGGAACTTGCTCTTGCAGGTAACATCAGCAGTGAGTGAGAGACCACGGGCTGATACATGAAATGCTGACACTGTATGACACACACACACACACACACACACACACACACACGTACACGCGCACGCACACACACACACACACATTCAAGCGCTCGCACACAAACACACACAAACAGACACACACACACACGCAAGTTAGCCCATGAGACAGGCAACATTCATATAGCAACACAGAGTTATCACTGTAGTTGCCATCCTCTGCAGTTACATGTATATGACTGAATAGAGCTTGGGGAAGCAGAAATTCATTATTTACGGCAATTTTAATGAGTCATGGAAACCATGATATGAGACTGCACAACATGGGTGGTGTAATATAGTAAGGTGCGGGATTATTATTTATTATTCTCGTATCCGTCCCGAGTAGGACTCACGACGGACTCACGACGGCAGAATTGACTGTGAGCATGTGTGTGTGTGTGTGTGTGTGTGTGTGTGAGAGAGAGAGAGAGAGAGAGAGTGTGGGGTATACTCCAGCAAATACGGTATGCGAAGTTCCACACTCCAGTATAATCACGTGGTCTTGCCACCACCGACAACTGCAATCATGAAGCATTACCAAAGCCCACAGTTTGATACGGCATGTGATACGGCATGCAAGCCAATTTCCATTTCTCGTCCCTTCCTGCTCTTGATAAAAAAAGCTCATGTCCACTGCAGAAAGTAAATAGACCAAAGATGTCCCCCCTCCCCCCCCCCCCCCCCCCCACCACTCTCATTGATAACACTGCACATACCCGGCGGATGATGAGAAACCTGCTCGGCAACAAAGTGAACAGTGGGGTCCTTCTGATCGAGGTCTGATTGTGCATTGACACTGGACATACGGCGAGATGGCGGATCCAGCTCACAGCGGAACACTTCTCCCAGGCGCGCATTGTATGGCTTGCGCACTTGTTGATGCTAGCCGGGAATGCAGCACGGCACATACCCAAAAACAACATGAAACAGAATCAGTCAAAGTTGATGAGAGCAGGTACAAATGCCAAGTAAACGAAACCCAGGACGAACACCCTCTCTAAAGCAGATGTCAATAGCAGGCACAGCAGCACCTCACCAATCGTGCCATGCAGATACACCTCTTTGTCTATCTGTCCGCCAGACCGTCTGCCCATCAGACTGCCAGACCGACAACACACACACACACACACACACACACACACACACACACACACACACACACACACACACACACACACACAAACACACACACACACACACACACACACACACACACACACATGCACGCACGCACACGCATGCATGCACACACACACATACACATACATATACACACACACACACACACACACACACACACACACACTCTCTCTCTCTCTCTCTCTCTCTCTCTCTCTCTCTCTCTCGGTAGACATACCTGAAAAGCAGTATGGAAGGCACAGATGTAGTGACGAACAACAGCTATCATCCGCTGGCATGGCGTCTTGGCTTCAGCAATCCTATTTTGGAGAGGCAGCAATTGCATGAGCACCAGCAAAAACAATGTTGTTTCCATCAGCTTTTCAATGATGGCAGGCAAGGGTCTCAGTATACATGCACACTCCCATCTCTGACTAGACAAAACAACCATGAATATCATGTTTCTCTGCAATCCCCAGCTACTTTGATCACTGTCATCATTCCTCGGAGCGTCTAGTGAAAAGAGGGTGCGGTGGTTGCTTAACTTTAGGGTGCGTTCTTATATTCTCTAGCTTCTAGGAGAAGAAGAAAAGAGAAGTCGAAGAAACTGGGATAACTCAAGAACGGGTCTCGAAGAATTCGGAGATATTTTGCACATGTGAAGCAATATGAAGCGCCGAAGGGGCCGCGATCTTGAGTTATGAACGTAGTATGCACATGTGCGTATTAGAAAAGGGAAATGCGTACACTCATGATCAACACGTGGCTTTTAGCCGTAGTTCGCATGCGCTGATCCCAAACCGCGGGAATCTCCATGTTTCAACCACCTCTGAAGCTTGGAGAGCTTTGGAGAGCCTCCTAAAAGTCGGAGAGAATATAAGAACAGCTCTCAAACTTTTCGGAGAGTATCCAACTTTTCCGAGAGGATTGAAGAACGCACCCTTAGAACCAAAGGCATGCCTGCACAAATATTGCATGCTTTTGTGTAGCCTATGTAGTCTTGCTCTCTACTGCACACTCCACAGTACACAGTACATATACACATGACATGTTGTACGCTCCACAGTACATCAGGGGGGTCGGAACCGATGCGCCAAGTGCGGCCAAAGCCGCACCAATGATTATTATCTTGTGGTTTGTGAGGCAAAAACAGGGGCTATTAATTACCAAAAATATTTCCCAGGGGAGGGCCCCTGGACCCTGCCTCTTCATGGCCGCGCCAATGTGGAATACCTTACGATGCCCCTGTAAATACACATGGTGTGTTGTATACTCACAGTACATGTACACATCATGTGTTGCACACTGTGCAGCATATGACATTCATTGGAGATTCCCCATGCAATGCTTACTGAAGGAAGAGCTGCGAGTGGCTGAACAGATCAGCAAACAACTCCAGCAGCGACCGGCCATCCAAGAGTGACACAGGAAACGATACCTAAACATTATCACAAGCAACAAAATAACAAGAGAAAATAAACAGAAAGAAGGATCAGACAAGACAGCAGCAGCAGCAGCATCAGCAGTTTAAAGTGGTTGCGTTAGCTGAGATAAAGGAAGGTGGCTCAAACGTTGCCCAAGGAGTGCATGTGTCAATAAATCAATCATTATTATATAAAGGTGCGCAAGGGTAGAAGCACGAGATAAGGTGTGGCTACTAGCTGTGAATAAAGTTTTACACAGACACGCAGATATATACACATGCCTCTATTCGGCGGTTGAAATATCACATGACATAACTCCCTTGCCTCTTTGACGAGTGCATAGACACACAGACACAGACACACAGACACACAGACACACACACGAAAGGACACACACACACTAACCGTTGTGAGATCCATGCCTAGTTTTAGCTTGGAGCAGAGATTCATGAGTAGGCCACGGTTCTCTTTCTCCATCAGGCTAGCCATGGACAGTTGACGTTGCAGAACACCACACTCATCATTGTACAAGTTATCAGCATCCAGAAGGTCGTCAGTGTCCTCATTCACTGCATGTCAACAATAATAGCATCATATCAGAATCAGAATCATCATCAGCATCACCAGCAGCAGCACCAGCAGCAGCAGCAACAATGACGACAGCAGTGAGGCAACAGTGACAGCGCTGCAGCAGCGAAGACAACACAAATCTAGAGGATCAATGGCTAACCGAGGGGTGGGGGTTGGATGAATACAACTTTTCAAGAGACCAAGTGTGACAAAGATCCAAATCTACTAGTCACCGTGCACATGATATCAGGTTACTCATGTACTCATGTCCTGTCAGACTGATACATGTAAAACTAAGCAGAAACAATTGCCAGAAAAGAGTGACAATGTAACACGGTGACAACGGATTCTGGATCCATAAAGAACTCGCCCTGTTAAGCAGCCAGGCACCACCCATCCATGGACGAGTTCACAGAACTTTCAAGCACCCTCCTGAAAGGCTTGCAAGATTTCCAAGCCAGTTATGAATCAAGCAGTTGTTGAGAATTCTCTCGAGCTACCACAACGCGCTTCAAAGCACCCAGCAGTTGTTGGGGCTAGACAAATGTTCACATTATACCATACCATACCTGAGGGTTCGTTGGCAGCCTTGGTACTACTACTTTCATCAGCAGGCGGTGCGGATGTAACACTCGTGGCTGAAGTCTTTTCCGACAGCGCAGTGCTGGAAGAGGTGCTGGAAACGCCAGTGTCAGACGAACGCACCGACGTGCTGTGTTGGTAGTCGGGATGTGAGCGTATTGAACCATTGTCTGACTGGGTCAGTGGGGTTGCCACGGGTATGTTCATCAGAACTAAATCACTGCTGCACATCGAGACATGGACACACACACATGCACGCACGCATGCACACACACACCCACACACACCCACACACACACACACACACACACATACACCCCCACACACACACACACACACACACACACACATGCGCACACACACACACACACACATGCGCACACACATACACAGATGCTGGTCATCTCGTTTGTTCAGTTTCAGATACAGTGAAACCTATCTAAGGCGACCCCTCAAGGGACGAGAAAAAGTGGTCGCCGTGGCCAGGTGGTCTTCTTATCCAGGTTCAGTGGGTCACGTGACCATATCCACATGTGATACATCATTTTGTTCAGTGTATCACAGTGCACACATCTATGCTACTCTAGCACGACTCATATGCCTGGGGTCCTCAGACCTGTCAAGTGTCGTGCATGCACCATGCACATCTACACTTCCTACACTGATGTGTAGATCTACCATGCGTGGTGCACCATGCAATGCATACATTTACATGTACAGTCGAATGTCACTTATCCGGTCGCCAGTTATCCGAGCACGTCGGTTATCCGACAAGCCCGGGAGTGGTAATTTTATGACTCTCAACAGTCAAATTCTTAATTTTTTTGGTATCATTATTATACGGTGTAATATGCATTTACTTGAAGTACATGTAGATGTGGTCAAGTATGCTAACATGTACCGTAAAGTCGCGGATAAAAGCCGGGTTTGCATACAAGCACATCGCGGATAGAAGCCTGAAAATCAACGGGTCAATGCATTATAAGCCTGTCGCGCGTAGAAGTCTGGCTTCTATGCAAACGCGGATCGGGTAGGTCAAGAGTGCATGTGCTATGTACCAGATGTACAGTGCATAGTAAAACTGCCGCCATACCGGTAGTCAGTGGTAAATCTACGAGTGTCGCGCGTAGAAGCCTGGCTTCTATGCAAGCCCGGATCGGCCGATGTGCATACAAGCCTGGCAAAAATATCAGTGGTGCATATAAGCATGGTTTGCATACAAGTCTGGTTTGCATGGAAGCCTGATGCAGAAAGCGGCTTATGTACTTATAAGCCCGGCTTTTATCCGCGACTTTACGGTATGTGTACATGGAGCAATTCATGAATATGCATGAATGTATTTGTGAATATATTTGGGTATTGTGTACATAAATCAGTGAAATCCAGCCATATATGCACATAAAAAATGATATCAGTTATCCAACATGCCTGATTCCCGAAGTGGTCGGATAAGTGACATTCGACTGTACGAGCACCGTGCAACGCGGTCGCGGGTGGGTGGTCGTCGGTCGCCTTATCCGAGCTGTTTTGAATGTGAATGTGTCCGTGATAAGGCAGGGGCGTAGGAGGGGTTTTGGAAGTGGTACGACCGAAGGTCCGTGCGGCCGAAGGCTGTGTTGGAGGGGGGTCCGGGGGACGTCCCCCGGGAAAATTTTGTAAAAAAGACACAAAATCCTGCGTTCTGGATTACTTCTGGCACACTTCAGGCGCAGTGTGCAGTCGAGTCGAGTACAGTACTCAGTACGACTGCACACTTCAGGCGCAGTGTGCAGTCGAGTCGAGTACAGTACTCAGTACGACTGCACACTTCAGGCGCAGTGTGCAGTCGAGTCGAGTACAGTACTCAGTACGACTGCACACTTCAGGCGCAGTGTGCAGTCGAGTCGAGTACAGTACTCAGTACGACTGCACACTTCAGGCGCAGTGTGCAGTCGAGTCGAGTACAGTACTCAGTACGACTGCACACTTCAGGCGCAGTGTGCAGTCGAGTCGAGTACAGTACTCAGTACGACTGCACACTTCAGGCGCAGTGTGCAGTCGAGTCGAGTACAGTACTCAGTACGACTGCACACTTCAGGCGCAGTGTGCAGTCGAGTCGAGTACAGTACTCAGTACGACTGCACACTTCAGGCGCAGTGTGCAGTCGAGTCGAGTACAGTACTCAGTACGACTGCACACTTCAGGCGCAGTGTGCAGTCGAGTCGAGTACAGTACTCAGTACGACTGCAGATGCATGGCAGATCTACGAGTAGATCTACGAGTCTAGAAAATGGTCAAAGTCTGATGCGCATACATGTACATCAACATGATCAAGAGTCATAACCATCATAACCCCCTCGGATCAAAAACAATGGTGCCCTGCCTCGAGACCGGCCTTGCGCTGGTGTGGAGTGTACGCATGACATCAGAAGATCCGATTCCGCTCTACAATACATATGCAGAGCTGGATCGCGATATCGGCGTTGCACACTCTGTATCTGGGGGGGGGGGGTTATGTACTCTTGTGTACATGTACATATGCAGGGACTAATTTACTTCCAAAAAATTGCATAGCAATAATTGCTACACACCCCGACGTTTGCATAGCAACGCAACAATTTTGCATAGCAGTTTTTTTTCGTCGACAATGCAGTCTTCAGTGCACTTCCACTTATACCGTCAACGAACGCCGTGCTGTAATTCCTCAAACCACGAAGCGAGGACGCCTTCTCCTTGCACATCTTGCAAAATATCTTGGTCACAGCTCCACCACTCGACTCTGCGCGAATCCATTCTTTTTTGGGATCAAATTCAGCAATCCACTTGTCCACAGTACCTTGCTTCACAGACATGCCGGCAGTGAAGAGGCTTCATCAATAAGGCTAGCAGAATTTTACAAAGATAAGTCCTGAACGGTCGAGACGCCTACTGCTAGTGAAGCAACGCGGTCTAAATCTCAAAAGCAGGTGAAGTACTTGTCGACACTCGCCTCGTGCTTCCTGGGCTGCACTTCAAGTAAGTAAGTTAGTTAGTTTCCAAGTGCACGTGCTGCGGTGCGCGTGCGGAGATAGTGTGACATATGGCCATGGTCCCGCGGCCCGCGCGTGCGTATGGTGTAAAATCTACCTGCAGTGCTGCAGTGCAGGCTGGACAACCACACACACACAGTCTAATCTAGTCACAGTGCATGGCGCGCCATCTCCTGGCGCCAAACCAGCCACACACACTGTAAAGCTACACATGTGCATGCGCTACGCATGCACTACAAGTCTATGTCCAGGGCCATACTTGGCTAACATGTATGTTGTGTCGCAGTTTACCGCGACTCACTACGAACTTCGAATCGCAGACACTGTGTTTTGCGTCGCAAACTGCGATGCGATACCGGTTAAATTAGTCCCTGATATGTATGCATCGATGGATCCTGATTTTTTTATTACGGTTTTGCACGTTCCAGACGGACCACACTTTTCGAAAAGTGGTACGGCCATGGTCGTACCAGTCGTAGCGGGTGCTACGCCCCTGCAAGGAAATGTGGTCGCCATGGTCGCCATGGTCGCCATATCCGAGTGGTCGCCATTACAGGTTTTACTGTAATAGTATCCACGTTGATACAACCTATTAGCATGTTGAACTTGTTGAACTTAGTAGAACAGTAGTGTTGACTGTAGAATGGTACCCAGACACATAACAATACAGGTGCTATACTCGTCAAGCAGTACCCACACAAATTACAATACAGGTACTCGTACTACAGCACGCATTTCATGTACTGTAAAAGCAGAAATTTTCGGTGTTGTTTTATTTTCGGTAACTTCGGTGCCGAATATTTTTACCGAAAATAAAACGCACCGAAAATTCCGTTACTACCGCCACCGGTACTGTATACATGAAGTACACTAAGGGCATGATCGATTGGGCGAATCCCGAGCAAGTGTGCTCAGAGTGAGCGTGATCGTTTGGTCGAATCCGATCGAATCCGGAGTAGGTGTACTTGGAGTGGAATCCGACCACACCGGCCCCCACACCGGGAGTGGCTGGAGTGGAAATGGACTTTGCCGTTTTTGGACAGCTTTCACAGAATCTTTGTACGATATGCGTATATTTTGCGTACTACACCCTTGTTTTGTTCGATTGGGCCAGCGTTGCTCGGACCACACCGCCTGCTCGCACTCAATCCAGATTTGCCAATCGATGACACCCTAAGTCTTGTAGTACCTGGAAAACGGGTTTTACCGAAAATTTCCCTCCACCGAACCGCCCATTTTGGAGAATACCAAAAATATTACACCACCGAAAAGTTCTGCTTTTACAGTACTTACTGATCGAGATGTTGGGTATCTGTAGTATAAACAATATGCAAAATGGACACAAACAGACGGGCTTAGAATGGCAATACCTGCACAGTAATAATTATATGTTCAATACATCACTAGAGCGCACCATGCATGTTGAAAGGGAGTGGAAGTATTAGTTACACCCGACGATGAGACATGCTTGAACATTGAACTTTGTATGGGCATTGTCTCCATATAAGACCATTATGAGGCGATGGGGGACACCAGTAGCAGTGGCAGTGGCAGTAGCAGCAGTGGTAGCAACAGCAGCAAAAAGAGCAGTAGCCATCTGCAAAACACAGCATATGTTAAAACTCTTACCTAATGTGAGGCCCTTTGCTTTCAATCGTTGCTAGACAGATGCAAGACAAGGTCAACAAGAAGAAAGATGCAACACATGGTGAACAATATCAAGCAATAGAAAAATGGACTCGAATGGAGAGCCAAGGATTAAAATTAAAAAGAAAGGACAGAAGGTTTGCATGTTATCCGTAGATGTTCTACAATGAAATTAGCAAGATACTGATAAGTCAGAACATGCAACTGTTAGCACAATACTGACTAAAGTGTTACCAACAGTACATAACCCCCAAAAGTGTGCAACTGCCTGCACAACCTCTATTATATGCTGTGCTGCGACGGCAGAACTTCACATCACGTGACATGGTTCAAAAGGTTATGCTGGCAAACAGTGCAAAGTGACCACAAGAGAGTTGTACCCAAAGCAGGGCTGCGCACAACCCTGTGTCTATCATGCACAGAGTGCAAATAATGTGTACGGGTTCATCACGTGATGTGAAGTTCTGCCGTCGCAGACCCCATAGCTGGAGTTGCACACTCTTGGGGGTTATGTACTCTTGGTGTTACTGACATTCAACGACCTAATGCTTAACTCCATCACACCTTGAATGCGGAAACCAACAGCCTTCCAGCTTCGAAGGTTCTGAGATTCTAACTTAGGGCTGGCTTCCACTGCGGCTCCGCTGCACGTCATCTGCAGCATGAAACGTCATCATTACCATAGTGACTGCGGCTCGAGCTGGTGCAGCGATGTCGTGGCTCACCACCAGCTTTCGCGTCGCGGGTTGATCAAAAACTGTTCACCGCAGTCGCGGCTCGGCCTATTTCCTGTACTTTGCATTGTTTTATACGTGGGAATTGGATTTTTTCGATTTCGCGCACGCAGGCAGGTAATACGTCATCAAAAAAAAACCTCGAGCTCGATCGCGGTCCCGCGAATGTCGAGTGTCAATGGAACTATGCTGCTCCGCTGAAAGCCGCAGCTTTAGGACGTGCCGCGGAGCAGTGGAGCCGCAGCGGAACCCAGCCCTTATGGTTCTAATTTACCTTCCCAGTATGTGATGTAATTTCATAACTTAGAACCTTGCAAGTTAGAAGGCTGTTGGCGGACGTGATGAAGCTAAAAATCAGGTCGTTGAATGTCAGTACCACTTTAGTCAGTATTGTGCTAACTGTATACCCATTGCGGATTGGATCAATTTGTCTACTGTGATTCACTCCCTGGTAGCAAACTCAATTCCAAGTGTCTCCATGTATGTATGTGTGTCACTGTGTGTGTGCATGCGTGTGCGTGCGCTATGTGCACATGTATATGTTTGGGGGGGGGGGGGGGGGGGGATCCTTTGGTGCCCGGATGAGAAAGTTCTACTGTAATATAATACAAGCTGTGAAAAGCAGACCTGGTATTCCACAAGTAATGACAGACATTGATGCAACGCGGTGAGATTGGCCTATGAGGAAAGCAGACACACATGACAAGATACGCACATGCACAAACACGAGCATACACCCACACACCCACATGAGCAGTGAGAAAGTGAACAATGAGACACACTGTAAGCATACAATGTATGCGTGCAGACAGCGTGTACACATCTGGTCACAAGTGCATGTAGGCCACAACATCTTACAGGTCCTAAGCAAGGATAAAGTACGGCCAACAGAGCACAGCACACTAGAAGTTGGTCAACAGAGTCAATCACTGTTCGCTAGATCACAGAAATAAAACTTTCGAATACATTTGTTTGCTGCTCAGTTCGGAGATGCTGGGACTGCCTGAAGTACATCACATACTCCTGCCAGTGACATAACCAATGGGAATGCTATCATGCTGAAGTTGGGTAACCGTGGAGTTGGAATACGGATTATTTGTCCTATCAACTAGACAATAGCAGCCCAGAGTGTGAAGCACAAATGGGCTGTCACAGCGAAATTCTGAAATTACATCATTTTAGTGATGTAGTGAGTACAAACAGGTCTCCTGCCGCACAACTGCAGCTCAAGTGTACACACTACGCCACTTCCCGCTGCATATCTGCACCGACTATGATGAAATCCAGGAGTTTCGCCCTGGCACTGTGGCAGACACCCATGCGGAGAAAGTCACAAGCTGCACACTCTCAGCCTACTACCAAGAGTACATAACCCCCCAGAGTGTGCAACTCCACTATGGGTGCTGTCCCGACAGAATTTCAAGTTGACGTCATTTTGATGATGCAATGCGCACTGTACACGGATTATCAGACGAATCCGGAACCTGTGGTTGACCGAAGCCGATCGATCCTGTACAAATTATTGCAAAGAAAAACGTGTGATGCGTTGACACCCGTACACATGTTGTAAATCACTGCTGCAAGGAGCATTGCGTCATAAATAATGACGTCAACTTGAAATTCTGTCGGGACAACAGGGTATGTGGGAGTTGCACACTCTGGGGGGTTATGTACTCTTGCTACTACTAACAGATTTATAGGAGTCTTGTGCACGGTTGGCATGGAGACGAGAAATTTGTCCTGATGATATAACCGAATAAAGCAGAACCATGGCCCACTGTCACTGCACAGACCTGGTGAAGCTTTCACAATTCATGAAGTCAGATTTCACCAGGTGCACTCAAACATCTCTTATCCGGACGCCTCGGATACGGGCACGTCTCTCTACCGGGCACCTTCAGCTTGAGTTCCTATGGCAAAATGCTTCGAATTTGGGGATTTTGAACCTTTTTTCGTATGCACAATTGCTTATTTTGTCACTGCCAACTTGTGTAATCCACACATTTTCATCCATGGATTCTTTATTATCCTGGTCATGTGTAATACGTGCCAAATTAACTTCCTCAAAAACTGATATAATTATTATGAGTTACCCTGAGATACGGGCAAACCTGAGATACAGGCAGTGCCCAGAATCCCGGATAAGAGACGTCCGAGTGTACGACTACACGGTTACAGAGATGTTACGGCTAATACCCGTACAGTGGATCGCGGAGTACAGAGATTGCCCGTCTGTAAACGAATACACCCCCAGCAACAGAGGCCCATACACTTGGGCTCAATGCAAATGCATGACCATACTAACGTACTGCATTTCCCCGAAAATAAATCGCACCTTTTTACACTGAACTTCAAGGGCAAAGAAGAGTGACATCCTACTTATATGCATGTATTGAAACAATGCGGTTCAAACCTCAGAGTGGGGGTGCGACTTAAAATCGAGTGCGCTTTACAATCGGGGAAATATGGTACATGTACATTCACGTGTACACCGCAGAACATTGTAATACAGTAAGACACAGTCATGTGCCAGGATCTAGGCAGGCCCTGGGTATGCACATGAATTGCACTAGTATGTGTCAAGGTCAGCTCATTTCCTGTCTCTCAGACACAGACACTCATACACTTAGTCATACAATGATACATACACATACACACACCTGCAAAATGCCAGCATGAGACAGCCAAACAAGAGTCTTCACTTTTTGTTTTCTTCATTGCCAGACACCTTGTCATTCGATCGCGACTCCTTTGACACCCACTCCGGATATACATGTACATGCACATAGTAGTCATACACTTGGTTGTATGCAATCCGTGTGCCACACATCTACACCCCATGGCTAGTCATGAAGGTCATCGCAGATTATCTGTCCCATACCATGGAATGTAGGGGAAAGAAATCAGACATTGAACTAATTGTAGGGTTTGGAAGCAGGCTACACACAAATGCCCACAGGTGCTCCACAACTGGCTTTACACTAGAACGAGTGAAAGGCCAACAAAGAAAAGCACCCACACCAAAGCCAGGTAAGAACGCACACAGCTAAAATCTAACTGCAGACGCAGTTGCAGAGAACACCTCTAGAAGGGACATGTGCACTGAACAATGATACTGTACAGCACAAATGCCGTGTAAGCAATCACTCACCGGCAACATTACACACAGCTTACACACAGCTGCAGGCCAGGGGCCCAGACACAGCAGCTAAGCAGCTGCTTCACAAAGTTTCATGCACACTTCACACAAAGTCTGCATAGCAGTGCACCTATACGCACACCATAGTACATGAACACACAAGGGAAGACTTGATGTTTGATGCACAATTTATGCACAATACCGGTAATATATTTCAGAAGTTTCTAGCTTCTCAAGTGCAACAGGGCAAAGAAAATACAGTACAGTATGTACAAAGGTCTATAAATGTTCCAAGCAGGCTACCAGCACTCAAAAACAGAAGGAAAGAAAGCGAGAGAATAATAGACAGCAAAACGAAAATCGGACAGAAAAAAAGAAGGTTGCGCGGTACAATAACATATTAATAATATTAATATAATAATAATAATATATCCATCTTCTGTTATGCTCAATTAAAGTTGTAAAAATGCGTTCAGACAAGACAACAAAAGGGAGACACTAGTAGGCAAAGGTGAACACAAAGGGAAGATAGGGTAAGGACAACAATCATGCTCGACTCAGCTTGGCAATGACACGTATCAATGCTCGGTTCTCTTCGCGCACCTGCTTTAGCTCCTTCTCTAATGCACCAACACGATTCCGATCCTTGTCAAATGTCTCATACATTGACTCGAGCTGCTTCTCTAATGTTAGCAGGCGCGCCGAACACCTGGGCACAACAGGGGAAAGAATGGAAGATTGAAGTTGTTTGACAAGAGACTCAACGAAGGATGGCCACTGCCACTAAAACACAAGCGCACACACAACAATTCACACAAAAGATTAAAAAAAAGAGAAACAAGGCCAGAACAAATAAATCAAGGCGATACAATTTCTTCATATACACAAGAAGCATAGAAACTGTGGATAGCAACAAGTCCTACTCCTACTCCAAACAAAAACAAACACGTATCCAAGAATATCAGCCAACACCATCATACATGTAGCCCTCCTTCTAACAATTTCCACAAACTCATCCTTCAAAGCATACATATTCACAACACTAGACGTCTACTGAAGTCTCTCTTCACAATTCACACCCTTAGCAAAGAATGGTGGCGCTATTTTCTATGGTGCCGACATACATTTAAGCTGTCGCGGAAAAAGCTACGTTTAGTGCGCAACTCGTTCACCAGAAAGCATGATATCAATGTGTACGATACTGGTGTGATGTAAAATGTCACGCAAAGTGCATGTGATTACGGCATAGAGTGTACTCCACACTGTGCTAAACTAGCATTGAGTAGATATGCAACTTGCGAAACAAACTCGAATCCCGGTATTTTACCAGTGCCACACTATCATTTAGAGAATAACGCACTTCGCTAAGGGTGACAAATACCAATTGCAACTCGTAACAGGCATGGTGGTGGCCTGGCACAAGCGAAACTTCCAAGTTGGTTTAGTTTCTCAACATAACTGTATAGCCGGTGGTAACGCGAACATGAGTACTTTTTACTACCGTATTTTTCAGAGTATAGTGCGCACCCCCAATCTTCATTGGGGGTGCGCACTTCAATCTTCATTGAAGTACATGCATTTCATATTCGGAGCATAGTGCGCACCTGCGATTTAGGGCCTAAAATAGCACATCTAAAGTGCGCACTATACTCCGGAAAATACGGTAGTGACTTCGGAAGCCTACAACATCTACTAGAGTGATTTCTCCAGGGACTGATCAAGAAATGTAGGAGTACTGTTCCTACATTGTCACTACTGTAGATGCACATAGAACATGGACCCAGTGAGGGCAGTCAGTGAACAAGGCCAGGGCAAGACTAGTAAGACAAGTGACACAAAGAAGCAGACAGCACTTGGCACAAAACAGCTCGGCCCCACTCCCCTGGTGTGCTGCAAGACACCATGACTAAAACGTTCCACCGTAATGTGCGAAAGGCCTTCGGATGTGCAAATACAGGGCACAAAGCATGTACACCACACACAGTAGTACAACTACAAAACTTAATTAGGTGAGAGGAGCAAACACAGTTTATTTACAACAAAGTGCTAAACAGGGCTACTACTCGGTACACTCTCAGTGACAGTCTCACCGCCTGGCGTTACGACCAAGCCCATCCTCACCAAAAGAAGTGTATGCCACCCCACTGATCCCATTACAATCTTCGCAGTGGCTCCGAAAGCAAACAGTGCACACAAAAACTACGAACTATGAACAGAACAAACATGCACAAGTCCGCCGTTGACACTATGCAACACACAACCAATGGCGTGTCAAAAGCAACCAAAGACAGAGCTGACCAAACATGCACAATAATGTACTTACACACAATAATCGGTGGACTGGGATTGCTCCTCACTGGATTCAGCAACAGATATTGCTGCTGATCTTCTGGATCGTGTTGTTTCCACTTCAGGAGTCTCGGGAGTCTCACCCTCCGTTTCCACTTCACCTTCACTTGCAGAATGTTCCCAACCGGCTAGATCCGCAGGAGTAATACCACCAGTTTGCCGCCGCTCCGCACGTGAACGTCTTGTAGGCCGCCGCTTGTTCTTTGAGTCTTTGCTCAGTTGACTGATGCGCGCAGCCGTTGAGCTACTTCCACTTGTGTTATTTGTAGTAGGAGCAGTTGTGTCGGCAGGGCTTCCTTCAACGGCTTCCACATGCTCATCATTCTCAGGCGCTGTTTGTTCTGACGGTATTCCATCACCATCACGACTTACCCCATCCTCGTCCGAGATTGCATCCGGTGACGCTGCTGCACCACCCGCTGCTGCGTGAAGGTCTTCGATACGTACATGCTGCGTTACACGCCGGGTTTCTCTGCTACGTCGCGCCTTTTGGCGCCGCTTAGTCTCGGGTTCATTTGTAGAGTAATCCGGAGGAACTATCACTTGCGACGTTAAAGATGGTGATCGGTTAAGCTTAGGCTGCTCGCCACTCTGTAACACAGGAATAGCACCTGTGGCTGAGGCTGGGGCTGAAGCAACATTCTTGTTAGACGAGTCGAACTTTGCACGAAGGTCTTCAACGGAGGGACGACGATCAAATGCAGCTTTCACAGTACTAGACGGGGGTGTGGATTGAGCCGTTGTAACGGGAGTAACCTCTGGTGGAACGACCCTTCTCCCTGCCAGCGTTGGACTAGTTCCAGCACTGCTTCCAGATCTCTCTAATAAGTCCACTACTGCTGGCTCAGCTGCTGGTGTTGCCATTGCTTTCTTAGGACGTGGAGCACGTTTACTTTGGGCTTCCTTCAGCTCTTCAAGCCTGTCTGTGAGGTCTGCATCTGCAACTTCCAAACAAGTCTGGCCAAGATTGGAGAGTGCAGTGAAGTCTGCATCATAGTCCGCCAGAAGCTCACAAGCTCGCTCTTGTTTCCAGTGAGCAGCTGCATGAAGCGGGGTCCAGCCATCATCATCACGCCGATTCACGTCCATGCCCGCCTCGAGCAAAATTTCGACCACATCGTCATAACCCTTGGCACAAGCGACATGAAGGGGAGTCGCACCAAATCTTAGAGGTTCTGCACAATGTGACACTCCATTATCTCGAACACGCTTCGCATCCTCAAGCATCAACTCGTGTTCGGCGTTTCGTGCATGGTCCAGATCGATGTTTCGGTCTCGGACGGCGTTTTGAAGCAGAACTAGACACTCGTTATCGTCGTCACATAAATCTTGCGGAATCTGGCCATCGGCATTGGCGGCCGTTATGTCAGCACTATGTTCGATAAGAAAAGTTACAATTTCGGACTGATCACAGCTTGCTGCTGCATGAAGTGGCGTCCAACCTTCGTTGTCTCTAGCATTTACATCAGCTCCATGCTCAACAAGGGAGCGCAACATCTCTAAATTTCCATCTATACAACACTGATGGTGTGCCGTGAGTCCATCAGCAGTACTGCTATTCGGATCAGCACCATTTTTGAGCAAATAGACAGTCTCCTCGATGTCACCACTCTGACTAGCAGCCAGGAACACAACACCTGAAGGGAAGGCTACACTCTTGCGATCAGAATTGGATTTATTCGAGTTCACTGGTTTGATCGACGAGCTGTCAGAGCTATAATTATCAGTCCAACGCTTGATCGCCTCTCTCCGGACATTGGACATATTCGCCATAGTGCGAAGCTAATGAAATAGGAACTACAACATCGGGCGAGTGAATGCAACAGATATTCCTTCCCACGTTCTTCAGCAATGTTGAAAGACTACATACAGCAAGAAAGTGTCACTTCATGCAGAGGTAGGCCACGACAAGCCTGATGCTGCATCAACTTGGCAGTTTTGCGCCAGTACGCATGCGCAAAAGCGGGATTACACACAACGGTCACATGGGCAAATCCACAAACAGTAGTGAAACTGCCTTGTGAAGCAAGCGCAAAATCTAAACTCCTAGGTTTCCAAGAGGGTTTTGCTAGCTTTCACAAAGATTTGCACGGAGTTTTCCAAAATGAAGGCACATTCCGGTCGGTACAGCGGTGTTGGAGATTGATTCGCAAGAAACAAACAAGGAGTTGCTGGACTCGCAAATGCAGTGGCTGACTTGTCGACATCAACAAATAAAGCGAAGGTCAAAAGATTCAAAAGTACTACAACTACAGTTTTGGCACTTTCTTGCAGAAGATCAAGAACCTAACAGAGTCGTTCAAAGCTTTGAATAATGGCTGCCCTCTCAGAGACAGAAGCCTAACAAGAGCGTCACCTAAACATACACTTGTAGATGTACGTCGGCGTATGAAGCCTGGCCTTTGCTGCTGTCCAGTGCCCAAGTGAACTAGTTGACGTAGTGGCCCACTGTGGCTTCTGAACGCAAATTCGACCTCCTACTGTCTCCTTTCTGCCTGGAGCTGCTTCAGGCTCTTCGGCTGACACTTTGGACTCGACGAACGAGATCCCGTTTTGATAGAACATACAAAAGTGATCCACTGCGCTGGCAGACGTGAGTAGAGCGAGAGGTGATGTGATACATGACAATGGCAGTTAGTGGACCGAAATAATAGCATGTGATACAAGGGACTTCTCTCAAGACTGGAAAGGCTGAGTTAGCTCGTTGGTAGTTTGATTTGCAACGTGGAGTACGTTCTAGGTTAAAGGTGTACTTTGGTGAATTGGCTTCTTGCTTGACAATTCATCACACAGGAAGTTGTCCATGGAGCTTGTACAATGAAGTGTGGTGTGTTGCACAATGTCAGTGGAGGGAAATATTTTGTAACTCTGCGTGTGTGTTGAAGGGCCACGTTTGTGGGCCTACACTACACTCAGTAGTAAAAGAGGGGTTGACATGCACATGAATCATTATTATCAGTGCACATTAAATTTTGATAGTGTGGATGTTACATATCGTTCCTACCTGTGTGTGTCGGATGAAACTGTGGAATTATTTTGATTCATGTACGTATCATTCCTCTGGACATGCCTCGGGAAGTGTTTCGTCTGGAAAGTTAGTTCAGAATTGTGCCTACAGCTACAGTAGGGGCACTCAGCAACAGTGAGCCGTGTAACGTTACAAAGATTGATGCATAATGAGGCACAGGCACTCTCTTTAGAACGATTGCTTTGTGTGCATACATGTACAATACTGCATGTATGTGCCCATGGCCATATCCATGGGACTAATGACTATGTGCGTACTGCAGTACAACTGAGAGCATGATGGGCATCACGCTGTTTATGCAGTAGCTAGCTGCAGGGAAACCTGGGTATAGAAGAGCAGCGATGCATAGCACACAACAATGGAAGCCCATATGTACTTCCTTCCTCAGTTCCTGCACTGCTGAGACAAGCCTCGGGTCTGACACAAGAGGCTGCCTGCAAGATGTCACGCCGTACCAAAGTTCGGAAGTGCATATGAAAATACACGCGCTTATGGGTGTCAGGCAATCTTTTAGTACATGTATCCCCCATTTTGATCTGATTCGTGTCACTGGCCAGTTGAATGTAGCAGCGTAGCCCGAACATACTACTACCGTAAAGTACCGCCAGAGCGCCCCACCTTGATTTTACAGCCAGAGAAAGGAAAATCGTATGGCAGAGTGCAACGAAGTGTGTACGATGTGAGAATCTTAGTGTACTAAGGTCACACTTGGCAGGTTTTTGTGTGGAGCTTGTGTCCACTCGAAGGTACGGATTGACTGCAAACCGTGCAATATGTATACAAGGTTCATGTCGTATGACCTACAGACAGCAGACCACCTCCACGCTACGACCACGAAAGGATGAGATGGTGGGGCGCTCTGGCGGTACTTTACGATATTATTACTTGCCAGTGCATCACAGTCATGAGTCTGCATGTAGCACAGACTGTCAAGATGTTCCATTGCCTAAAAACAACATTTGAAAGGTGTTTATTTTTAAGCTGCCAATTTCGTCTTACGCATGCTGCTGCTGAACTCAATAGTATGCTTGATGGTGTGCCTTGGATGTAGAAAGAGCTCTACAGTGCGTTTCACAAGTACAAACCATATGAAGGGTCCGTTTGCCCCACGTCTAATGTTTCAGGTACATATAAAATCATTTTCGGACAACGGATGTTTGTTTTCGAAACTATGAGAGATACTGCAACAACTGTCTGAGAAGAGTCCTCAAATTGGCTCAAGATTTTGTCCGAAACCTCGACAAATTTGAAGTACATTTAGAGTGTTCGAAACGGTCTGGTGGTCTATGCTTTAGAAATGCACTGTAGGTGACAAGGGCGGGTATCAATTGTGCGTCATGCGCATCAATAGTGAACAGGGGCAAGTTACAGTCAGTTGGCAAGCATGTCGGTTGTCAACTGTGAGGGAATGGTTATCTACATGTACATATACTGTCATCTTTTAAATCCTCCCTTTTGGTCGGGCTCACATGAAGTCTTATAACTTACTTTTTGTAGTTGCGAGGATTGGGAGAAAGGACAATGTGAATTTGGAAGAGGTTTTTTTAGACCGTATGGCTACATGTGTACATCATGATTCAATTGCAAGTATGCAACTGAACTGTTCAGCACAATGACTAAGTGAAAGATGGCATTGTAACCTTTACACTAGTTTACAGTGCCTTCAGGGTCCAGGCTCTGTTCTGGAGTAACGTATTCCCTGGGTGTACTGTTGCACACCATGAAAGAAAACGAAATTGTCAGAGCGCTGCACCAGTATGCAACTCAGTATTTGTATTTGTACTAGAGCTGGGGCTGATCCCAACGGTGGCTTACTCGTAAGTATGAATTTCACGAGCACGCCTGTAGATGGCTGGCTGCATTCACTGGTTGAGATGGCTCAGTCACAGTGGTTATTGATCACGGTATACTACAGGGCGCTAAACTGGAACAGCCAGTTTAAATCATTGTACTTTATTTTACCAATGAAGTGACAAATGAATAAACCACACCTGGTGCTGGTAATCGTCAGACTGACGCACCCTGTCCCCTGGCATTGCATGTCAACACATACCACGGACAGTATGTATATGAGCCATGCAGGGCCCACACACGCATGCATTCAGCCGAGCACCGGCACAAGGGACAAACGACTTGACAAATAACTTGACATGCGCTGGCTTGTCAAGCGTGCCTGCCGGGTATGGGCGTAATAGCACTGGCACAGCTGCATCCCGTGATAATGCAATCATGGCACTGCAAGGCATGTTTCGTTGACTGCTAGCTGTCAGTCACATGCACACACACACACACACTTGTACTTGTTGCTCACTGCCAAAACTGGTCACGTGGGTCTCCCCGGGAGAGGGGAGAGAGACTCAAAACACACACATACACACACACTCGTCTTCTTTACCAACACCCAGACCTGACACTGCTACAGATCCATAACAATGCCTTATAGAGGGCACAGCTTAGCGATCTGTTCATCTACCGTGGAACGTGTCGGCCACTCAGCATACTGATGACCGTGAGAACTATATTGTCAGAGTTTGACAGTCCCAAAACGTTACATGTAAACGTAAAACAACGCATGGTAGATCTACATCTAGCACCCTGAATCACATGAACTCACTGAAGACGCATGGCGGAAGGCTCTACGTACCCGTACTTGGTCATACTTCTGCCAGAACATGTAATAGAAAATTCTGCTGTGGGTAAGTCCAACACAGTTTACAGTGGTGTCTTACACTATAGTTATCTTCTATTGGTTTCCATGCTGCTGGACTCAAGAAAAAGAAAAAAAACTACCCGCTGACCAACTGAGCTGCAGCTCAGGACCCTCACCATATTTGTTCTAAGCTGTTTACCTCGGTGACTATTCACGAGATGGTATGGGACTTAACCTGAGTATCCTATACATTGTATAGGATACTCAGGCCGGGCGGCACATATGAACGTAGTGCCAATTATTTACAGGGCATGCGCTCTATACATACAGTGTGCATGTCGCACACACTTTCGAGCTGATGCTGACGCGTGTCCTACGCATCTTGGCCGTTCACGTGGCACGGATACTGGAGCTGCACACTCGTGGGATAATGCACTTTTGGCAATGCAAGCTGCCCATGCAGTACACAAACATTAATTACTCACCCAGAGATTTTACAGGGAAAAAGATCGACCTACAGTAGAGAAGGATGGGTCCAATTTGGTAGACCGTCACTGGCAGGAGTATGGCAGCTTCAACACGATGGAGAGTAGGTTGTGTTCGCGACCATTCACATACACACACAAACTACATGAACTTACTTGAGCCGTCGCTTTCATCAGCAAAACATTCTGTAGTGGCAGAAGAGCGCGCATGCAAACAAATCCAGGTACACTATCAGATGCTGCTGAAGCACACATGTTTCAGAATGGCGCTCCCGTTTACTAATGACCTGCATCATACTCACACATTGTGAGTAACAATACGGGAATAACACACAAATCCGACTAAACACGTACCGAGTAGATATCAAACATGGAGTACAATCATGCACAGTCAAATTTGCAAGAAATTCCGCCAGACAGCAGAAATCGTGCAAGGTCACAACAAGGCCACACGTTTTTATTTCTATGTTTCTCGTCACCTGAAAATCTAAAAACGTATGCGAGAGGTGGAAAAAAATGACCGAAAAATAAAAAAAAGTTTATTAGACCGTTGTTCACACTAAAATCTACGAATGCACCATGCAAAATAGCATCCATAGTTAACAACTATAACTGTAGTATGTGTTAGGAGCTTCTGTTACAATCTGTGCATGTGCAGCTAGATTGTGCACAAACAATGCCGACCTCGCATCATGTGTCGCGCAGGCCAGGTCACATTATGTACATGTGCTTGAGTTTGCTGGTCCCCACATGCAGTCAATGCAGCACAGTTTTTTTTCTTTTTTTCCTCCAGACTCCTGAATCGTATGCGCGCGGGTGACGAGAAACATAGAAATAAAAACGTGTGGCCTAATAACTGTTAGTGACAATATGTGAGGTGCTGAGCCCGTATGCACCCAGCTGGTTACCTACTGGAACTGGATCCACAAAAGTTTCATGCTTTCTGCAGTGCTACTACATCAGTATGTCAACTCGGAATTCGGTCACTACGGAAAAAATTGCTAAAAGACGCTGATAAGCGAACAACTTAAAAAATAATAACGTAGCAGTGATAATGTTCAGACCTTGCTTTCAATCAAACCAGGCTTCTAATCAAGCAGCATTGTCGACGCAAACACTCACCGGGTCGGAGTGAACGTCCGTGGCACCAAACTTGCGCAGTGCCTTGACATTCTGTTCAAGCAGCGCACGCAGCTCTTGCTCCTGCTGGCTGGCCAGAGCGCATGCCTGGTGAATAGGCTGGAGTGCACCCATGTCATCTGGCATGGCTGCTGCAGGCAACGATGTGACTGAAGACGAAGTTGAGTGAGTTGATGACAGCTGAGCAGTGGTCAGTTAAAGCAGTGGGTGGTATAATATAAGCATGTTAGGTGCATTTTTAGAAAGGGTCCCGATAACAAAGTCTTCTGTTGTGAAGTTCTCATTATTGGGTGAACTTCTGTATATTTAGGATTGCACTAATCTGGCCAAATAAACCCATCAGCTACAACTAGACTTTGAAAGCAAGTCCTTGCCCTTTAGCACAACAAAAACTCTAGTCTTTTTTTTCAATTACATGTGCAGCATATCCATACATCTTCACTCTCCAAACTCTGTTTTGAGAAACATGTGCAGCATGTTTGATCTTGGGTTTTCCATTATTATTATTTGCTATGGCGACCCCCGTAAGTCCACGTAACTGGCAGGGCAGGGTTGGGCCTTTTCTTTTTTTTAAATGTTGAAGCGCGGCAAGGGTCCGTCCCAATTCGTTTTGTGAAGAAGCAGTTTCTTTGAGCTGCGATGCAATTTACACCATGTGATGGTAAACAAAGAATCATGAGATCATCCCAAGACGATCTCACATCATATTTCAGAATGCCCTATCCATACGACTTGAAAGCGCTGAAATCAAACATGACTGGGTAGTCATAATTTCACGTAAAATAACCAATTCCGGATTCACTCTTCGGTGGGTTTGTACGGCATACCGTGGGCAAATAGCGACCGGCTCTCATGTTGCATGGTGGTGTGATTCTTATGCAGCAACATTGCCCCCACCCCCACTCCATCCTTAAAAAGACAGCATTACTCCTTATCGCGATTCAGATCTTTGTAACTAAAATCAATCTCGTAAAAGCCCACGACCAACACTGAGGCCACATTGGCACGACGAAGCTGACGTAAAATTGTCATGCAAGACCGACGGAAGCAGTTACACCATAAACATTCATACTTTGTGTGAGATATGGGGGGGGGGGGGGGGGTACACATGACCTCCTGGCCAGCAAACATGGGTTGGTGGCCACTGAAACAGTTGGTTACCCTGCCCCTGTATTGTAGACTTGTTGCATGCGGGAAGGATGACAAGTAAAATTCAAGGTAATCAAATGCATACAAGTTCGTACCTTCTTGAAATCCCAGTTCCGCTTCTTGCTCATGGACGCATGCGGGGAGGTTTCCCGTGATTTGGACGACTTCTTCCGCTCACGGTCGCCAATGGATGGTGCAGACGTGACAGCACCAACTGCTCCATCTGGCTGGGTGCGTGAGCGAGATCCTTGCCCACTCATAGTTGCTGGGTACCAATACAAGAGAACACATCAACAAAGAAAACATCAAAAGTTTGGCCTATAGAAATGAATTTTCTATTTCATTTGTTCATCACGGTACTATGTCGGCATCATTTGTTTTATTCATAGCCTTGTAACAAAATGAGCTTTTCCAAGTGCTCTGTTTCACCCTGATGATGCGCCATGCCCGACAATTCAATGAACATTTCAAGCGACGTACATGTATGCACCAAAGACTGCATACGAGTGAGTGTTTGAGTTGAGGAACCCTAATGGAAATGAGGGCACTAAAAGGGGGCCCATCCATCAAAATTTGTAATAGCAGTCTGCACATACTCTGGATGGAAGCATGCCAGCTGGCGGGCAGAACTGGAAAGTTCTGATATGTTAGAAAGATTGCCTCTACTGAGTGCACCTAGCAGTCAGAGTCGGGTGGCAGCACGGATCATGTTATGCATCCCAACCACGCTAGGGCTTAGATCTTGCAGCTGACTAGGTTAACGTTAGGACTCAGGAGTCACATGGTGTGAATATGCAATTACAGACACATCTGTATGTTGCAATGTGAGAAGCTTTCACCGCATGCAAAATCATTTCGGTGTTCTGAAGAATTGCACTGGTTCACGATGAGAAGCTTTCACGATCCCACCTCCCAAGTTGGCTCATGTGTGGTCCACAGTCAGTGCACAGAGCAGTTTGCGGCGACTTACCTCACCAATACATGATGGTGGCGAAAACAGCGAACTAAATCTCTAGCGAAAGTTTCTCACTTTACAGTAGTGTACACCATAATGGCAGCAGTGTCATGCAACAGTACCAGTACAGGCACCAGTACAGGTAGCAGTACCAGTACATGTAGCAGTACCAGTACATGCAACAGTACCAGTACAGGCACCAGTACAGGTAGCAGTACCAGTACATGTACAGGTCTACCCTTGTTAGTATGACATCGGTTACAACCTCATTAGCAGCCAACGAACAAAATTCCCTGATGCCTGAAAGTCGCACATGCAAGTCCGGATAGTAGATAATACTGGCTATAAGACAAGCATTTTGAAATCCCCGGGGTTGTCAACTGACGAGAGTAGACATGTAGGAGGGTTAGTAGCAGCAACAACAAAATGAGACAACGGGCAGCAGCAGACGTAATGTCTATCCAGGGGCGTAGCAGCCGGTCCGGCTTTGGCCGGATCACCTTTTCGCCCTACCACGCCAAAAGTGCCCAGAATGCAGGATTTTGCACCCTAATTTCAAAAAAATTCAGGGGGGAGATCCCCCGGACCCCCCATCGCCGGACCACCGCCAACGGCGGTGCTACACGCCTGCTATCAGAAAACCCACCAGATCGTGAAACACTGTTCCCGGCACTCTCCGTGCGCATGGCAGCTATGTGGCCACTGGTTCGAGCACCCTGCAGTACACAGATACAGATACACACGCACATACACGTGCGCGCAAACACACACACACACACACACACACCCATCATGGAATAATCTAAATGTGTGCGGTGTGTACTTTGAGATTTCTTCAATAATTGCAGGCCAATCGCATACCGCTACCAGGTCCCAAGCAGTACAGTCATTCACCTTGGAGATGTTTTCTTGCAGAGGTGAGGAGCAATAGCATACACATTGCACACATTCTAATGTTGCTGCATGTATCAACTTAAAGCTGCTATCCTGCAACAGCCCATCAAGCATGCATCGTTACACGACATTTGGCATACAGTTTACTGTACGTCTCGTGGCAGAGGCCTAGAACAGCTGAACTACTACAGTAGCTGCTGCAGCAGCAGCAGCAGCAGGAAGAAACAAAATAACAACATACCGAAGTCGACATGGATCTTTTGGGTGCGTGGGATTCAACGACATGTCGGAGGTGCGACACCCATAGCTGCCTCTCCTTGGCATCATGTGCTGTAGCACCCAACAGAGCAGTCAACAACAAAGGCAATTATATTGAAAGTCCCCAAAATTGTCCTGAAGTACAGCATGACGTAACACCAGACTTGAACTACACTCGTAAAGTCGTCATCAAATACGAAGTCCATACCTGCCAAGTACTGAGGGTGCTTTTTCTGGATCGCTAGGGTAAAATCCCGGGATTCACCTTGGTTTTTCGGGATATGTAATATTTTTCCAACTTCTCTTAAAATGATGGCACCAACATTTCGTGATCATAGACGATGGCGTGGCGATGATCACATTAAATTTTACGAATGTTCAAGACTCAAACTCAAAACGGAGGTTTTTCAGGGACTGTTCATGGAAGGAGTACTAGTAGATCCATTGGTACTACAGCTATGGCCGTACAGAATCAATAAGGACGACTAGACAAGTCACCTGAAGTTCTCCAAGTACAATATAAAGACTTGTTTCTTGTACAGTGATTTTCGGGATAATCGACAGGAATTTCGAGATCGCGGGAGTTCATCCAAAAATGCAGGATAATCCTGAAAAAATCGAGATGCTTGGCAGGTATGGAAGTCAAGGCAGTGTGCTGTGCTAGTCGTGCCAGCTGATCCGATGTATGGTGCCCGCGTGCCGTGTGAACTCGGACTGCAGAGCTGCACTGATGTGTACGTCGTACACAATCAGAACGCCAAAAGGGGAGAAAACAAACAAAGCCAACAGCCTTTTGTCGTATCGGTACTTTCTCCGCGAGGCTCTATCTTCGTTTTTTTCGTGTTGCAATTACGAAGGAGTGGAAGGAGATTTGTTCGCCGTGAGTGCGACAAACATACCTCGTACTTGTAAATGATCCTCGTGGAAGAAGTCAAACAGGTGAAACTTGAATGCTGTTCATTTGGCTGAGCAGCTACACATGGATCTCTCCCTTGTTGGTGTTCCCCTTCTGTACGGCGTACCCACTTGTGCAGCTCTGCTGTCTTAGTTCACAAGGGACGCGTGCACCACACATCGGAACAGCTAGCTCGAGCAGCCAGCACACGGGCTTGACTTTGTTTTTGACGACAAATAAACAAGCGGAGGTCAAGTCTGGCGTGGCGTCACGCTGTACTCCGGGACAATTTTGGGCACCTTCAATTCAAGTTTCACAGTTTCACCCACGTCCAGTCATCGCAAACAAAAAGTACACCATCATGCCCAGGGCCATGATGCTTTGGCCTCGTTTCATGCCTAAAGACGAAAAAAGAAGGTAGAAACATCTTTCTTTCCTTGAGGTTCAGTTCTGGCTATTGATGTGAACGATTCTGATGTCTGCCTGCATTGCTCCTATAAGGTAGGGCTATATTTTGGCCACTGTCGCGGTGCCTCACAACGCCAATTAGGCTTACGTGTACTAAACCGTAGACAAGAACATGTTACTGTGCTGCATACTGACCTTTCAGCTTGAAGATTTCACCATTAGCAGCATTGACAGAAAATGTCTGTGAGTCCTCCTCTGAGGGACACACCTGTGCTCCCTATAAAATATGAAGAGGAAACAAACCAGTGAGTGAATGAGTGAGTGAGAGTGTAGTTTACATTTATACAGACAAGAGAGAGAGAGAGAGAGAGAGAGAGAGAGAGAGAGAGAGAGAGAGAGAGAGAGAGAGAGAGAGAGGGAGAGAGAGAGAGAGAGAGAGAGAGAGAGAGAGAGAGAGAGAGAGAGAGAGAGAGAGAGAGAGAGAGAGAGAGAGAGAGAGAGAGAGAGAGAGAGAGAGAGAGAGAGAGAGAGAGAGAGAGAGAGAGAGAGAGAGAGAGAGAGAGAGAGAGAAAGAGAGAAAGAAAGAGAGAGAGAGAGAGAGAGAAGGGGGGGGGGGGCGATAGAGACAGTGAGACGGAATCTAGAACAAACTTCACTATTAATTTTGTAGTCTTCTGTTCACTGAGTCGAATGGTGTTGGTTCCAGGAAGCTGAGACACTCCCTTCGTCACATTCCCAATCAAACTCCTGCACATACCTTGAAATTGATGGAGTGTACCCTACTAGATAGGGATTAGTGCGAAATGTTTTACTCAAAGCGTCACTTCGTTCTTATAGAAATGCGGACGAAGATGAAACTCTCAGAACCTGCAAGTGCGGATGCGTGTGGGAATGAGTGGGTGTCCGCGTGTGAGTGAACACAAGCATGTGTGTTTGAGTGGGATACACATGTGTTTGTGTGGATGTGAGTGGATGGGTATGTTTGTGGCTGTGTGTGCACTCTTTTAGGCATGTTTGTGCTTTTCTATGTCGTGGCACTAGAGACCATAACTATAAGAGTGTGCAACACTGATCTCCAAGCTCTGGGTGCTCTGGGTGGCGCTGCCTTCATTACGTAGTGAAATGACCATCAAGCTGCTTGGATTCGAGTTCTCCTATGGTTAAGCAGCAACGATTTCATGCGCAACACGGTAAATTCAAATGCAATGGCTGTGCGAGACGCATCCTCAAAGGACCATCCGAGCTCTTCGAGAAAAGCGGACTTGGAAGCAGGAAACTGTAGCAGATCAATAATGACGCAATGGCGCAGCTGATTCACCAGTTCAGGCTACGTAATGTGGGCAGCCCGCTACGCCAGACCCCATATGCACAGTTGCATACTCTTAGGGCTATGTACTCTAGGCGGCGCATAAGTAAGTGTCTGCTATGTCCTGCCGCAGCTGATGATTTGGACTACTTTTGGACCGAAGTCGCAACATATCAGTTCGTTTTGATGTCTCCCACACGGGCGTGCTACTAGATGATCAGAGGAGACGGCGTTGCAAATGGTCAACAACCCGCAGAGTCTGTATTTGTGCGAGCCTGACTCACACTGCTGCCTGGTGCTCACGAGGTGTTTGTCGCTCTGGGAAATGAGCATCACGGTAAGTTGGTATCCCTATTGTAGTGATGTGTTGGCCCGGAGAGCACTCCATAATGCAGTGCTCTCGGAGCACAAATTTCATTAGCCTACTCAAGCTCAACTGATGAGGCGTGAATTCCCCGAACACAGCGTATCAAGCAGGGAGTGGTGCTTTCTTGCAGGTTTGCCGAGTGTACGGATCAGCATCCTTCTGGTGTACTCCAGACGGCAGTTGTCAGTCAGTCAAATGTTAGTCAGTTGGCAGGAACCTCCAGCTCCAACGTGTAACCCGCTGATGCGAACAAGTTGCAACAACACTAACAGTGCAGTAAATAATAAGTCCACTTATTGAAAATTGCCCTGATCAAAGTTCGACCACTTACTGGCAGCCCGACTTGACCACGTGATGCCTTTTTCTTCAGAGCTTCTTGACTCTATATCAACACAATGATCATAAAAAGCAGCAGTGTAAGGGACAATGCTAAATGTGAAGAGGTTGACATAGCCATTTCTTTCGTCAACATGTAGTCTGGACACTGGCCCCCATTCTAGTCGGATTTTGGTATACGATAGTGGCTCCCGGCGTGCACCGGCAATATGTGAACCAACCTATAAGGACGACGAGTAGGAACTCTGGAGGGACTTTGCGATCGTCATTTTCTATGTCAACAAGCTCATGGTAGCGAGCTCGCGAGGTGAACAAAAAATGATCGACTGATTCTAAGGCGTCCTGTGGATCTGGGCACACACAGCCTTGCATAGTAGACAAAAAAATCAAATGTTCCCGCCCGGGATCGAACCGGGGACCTTGTGCGTGTGAAGCACACGTGATAACCACTACACTACGGAAACAGATAACAGACAACATTCTTCAAAGAGGCTGCACAAGCTTGTGGAGTGGCAAGTACAGAAAGACTTGTAGAGCTTACCAAATAATACGTCAGCGTGCCATTTCCTGGATCGAGTACGAACCATCGGGGTAAGAAGCCACCTTTCAAAATGCTGGTGAACTTTAGAAGCTGACCCTCCAATATAGAACTAGAAAATAACAACGATGACAACAACCATAGCAGCAACAGCAAAACAAGAAGAAAGAAAAGCAAAAGCAGCAATGGCAGCAGCAAAAGCAGCAGCAAGAACAGCAACAAAATGCCATTTAGAGGATAAAGATCTGACACCGGTGATACCAAGAGTGCATAACCCCGGCCCCCATAGTGTGCAACTCCCCGCATGCAGTGCTGTCACGACAAAATTTCAACTTGCCGTCATATTATAGATGCAATGCTCCCTCCTTTGAATAAAAATCACGGTTTGCGTGAGACTCAGTTAGACTGGATGCTACCTCCATGCACGAGTGCTTTCCGAACTTTGTACAACAGTGTCACCGGACCAAGCGTGTTTCATTGCACTAATTTGTACAGAATCAAATGGCGATGTGTCCACCACTGGTCCAGGATACAAATGAACACCACACACTGTATCATTAAAAGTCATCGACTTGAAATTCTGTCAGGACAGCACTGGATTAGCCCACTGTGAGCGCTATGTACTCTTGGTATTACTAACAAGAAACAACAGAAGGACAATAACATCATTATCACAAACAGGGCTGGTCAAAGCAGCTTGGTGTCTGCATAACATCATTATCACATTGCAAAATGGCTTGCCTAACTGAAGTCATCTGCAGGTGCATCCTTAGCTAACCTCACACCCGACACCGATATTCCAATCGGTGTGCATGAAGCAATACCCTAGCAAGACCTATTGTTAATGGCACTGCACAGAAGCTCAGCCAGCCCTTTTCATTATCACTGGGTGACGACAAATACTGCTTCGAACAATGTCACGCATATTTTAGAGGTCGTGGAACCGCCCAATTAAGGGTGACTGGAGTATCACAAGGCTTTTAAAATTGTTTTGTTTCCTCAGTTGGTTAACATTTTTTACTATTCTCATACTTGTTTTGGACACACACACACACACACACACACACACACATACACACACACACACACACACACACACACACACACACACACACACACACACACACACACACACACTTGACCTTTGACGCCCATCGCCGGAGGCGATGATAGCAATGCTACGGCAGAAGCCATAGCAACTTGTGCTGGGATTGCACCATTCAACAGCTTGCAAGGCTGAAGAATTGACCGTCACTATTCAGCCTGGTCTACACTATACAGCTATTTGAAGTGACTTTTTCTGGCCAGTGAATCCCTATTTTTGGTCTTTTCATTTTTTTTCCCGCACACACATCACACCACATACTCCGGCATGCACACACACACACACACACACACACACACACACACACACACACACACACACACACACACACACACACACAAACACGCACGCACACACGCACAAGAATTTTCTAATCAACAGGTATGAAAAGTGACGGTATTCTTTCACCGATCACCAGATGTCTAGCAACAAATGACTACGGAATGAATATACTGTTTTCAGACGATGTCAATGTACTACTCACTTCATGTCATGGTCACCGTCGCCACTCTAAATCAGAACAAGAGAAAGAAGGTAACGTTAAAGCCTGGTAATGAGTATGACTATTATCACAAACAGCCCCACGTGTGTACCGTAGTGTCTTGTATTAAAGCCTTTCTCAAATAGAAGCCTGAATTTCACGATACACTGCCAGCACATACGCCTGGTTTTAATGTTGACACACATAGAAATACCTGGTTTGAATAGAAGCCTGATGTGAATATAAGCCTGGCCCTGACATCAGCTTCAACAGGAATAAGCCCGGCGTTAATACGCGACATTACGGTACATTGTGTCGTGTGCAAGTGGGTGGTTATCACACATGTGTGCTCAGGACCATCTACTTTTTCTCTGCGCTTCACGTGTTCGGGCATGGGTACTTGCACTCCACATGTACTCTGCTCCTGCCTGGCACCTGGAGCAGCCAGGGCAGTTAGACTTTTGCGCCATTTAGCTTTCCCAATATGGATAGGTTTACGGTATGTAAGAATGCGGTGCGTGTGGTGTACATTATACTCAGGTTCAAGCCACAGAACAGAACGCATGGCCAAGTACGGGATACAGTGATCTGCAATTGATCAAGTGACCCGAGTGATCTTGGTGATCACCGCCGGCTACTGAGCATTCGGTTCGGCCCTGTAAGGGGTCGTTGCAAAAGTTGCTTTGCTGTCCCGGAAACGGACATCGTTCGAGCCAAAATCGCAAGTTAACCGACACTGCACATGCGATTTTCGTCGTCCAGCAGAGCAAGCTCCGTTCATTTCGGGGGGGGGGGGGTACAAAAGGAATGATGTTCGTTTCAAGGACGACAAAAAACTATTGCGACAACCCCTAAGGCTGTTCCAGATGATCCAGCTTTCATTTTTGTTCTTGTACAGCATAATCTAACGCACCATGTATCTGTGTTTTCAATGTGTTTCGAATGGAAGGTGGGAGGATGAGCCAAAAACGAAGATACAGTCATGGATATTTTGAAAATGGCTTCAATCCTTTTTGAAATTGGGTTCAATTCATCATTCTTTTTTTTATTCAACTTGATCATGTCATCTACCTTCACATCACATGCTACTAATGCCGATAGGATAATAATAATTATTATTGTTGAATGGCAACATAGTTGCGCATTCAGAACTATTTTTAACACCACTGGTCTACACAGTGACACTGCTCTGAATTCTACTCGAAATTGCACGACATGAAAGATCGGGGTGATAATAATGACACGAAAAGGCATGAAACATAAATGCAAACCCTGAAACTACAACAATTTATTTCATAATGAAAGCACACATCGTTGATACTTTCAAACACCATTCGTCAAATCATCCATTCAGTGAATTGAAGCGATGAATGCAATTTCACTGTTCATACGTTTACCTTAGCGAGCTCCCCGTTCTTCCCTTTGCCTTGATCATCCCCCTCTCGTTTCACACCACTTGCCGGATCCATACTTCACTGCACCATCGCAAGGAAGCTATACTCTCAATAGCTAATCTTGGAGATAAATAGGGTCTGTGCAAATGATTACAAACAGTGCAGTGGATTTTGAACTTTTCAAGCTCAGCTAGCTCAAGCATGCAGAGATGATGCAGTCTAGTCATGAGTCATGACATGTGACTCTACTACTGCTAGCAGATATGCGCTAGCATGTAGCAGCCTATGTTGTAGCACACGATCCACGCCACAGCGCGAGCCTACAACAACCATGACAACTGGTACGCTTTCCAACGCGAGGAGGGAGTTGGAAAGCTTGTGTCTTTGACTCGATCTTTGTGGGTAACTAACTAACTTAATTACTTGAACATTTGGGCTCATGCAAAATCGCACCGATTTTGGGATTTCCCCACAACTTTTTGCGTCAGCAAAAATGTTGTGCTGGACCGCATTCCTGTCACTTCGCAGTGGCTTTTCGTTGGTGCAGTTTGTATCCCACCCTCCCACCCCTGACTTCTGGGTGTGTGTTTATCGATATATCGTATTGGTTTTTCTTATTGGCCATGTTGCAGTTACGACTGCTTTTCTTTTTTAGTTAAAAAACATAGGGGTGGTGTGTGCGTCGTGGGCCATTGTATGGTAATTACATACAGCTTCAGATTGTATGGCTAGTGACAGGGGGGTTGAGTCTGCAGGGGAAGAATACAGTGATTGAACTGAAGCTGGATGATGACCGTGTGGTGAGTGCGTGGGGGTTTCGAGATGCCGTCCTGGGGCAGGGATGTCGGTCCTTTAGCTTGGACGGGTGTTGTTACATTCATTGTAACATTTTGTCGTTTTCTGTGTGTTTTGCTGTGCGACTACAGTAGCAGCAGTACAGTGTCTTGTGCTAATTTTTCTTATCAGGCCCTATGTCTGCCCTTCGAAATGAAGTCTTGCAATACGTCTTCTGCATTTAACGCCCATCTTGCCTGCCTTCTTAATGACGGGCCACAATGTACCCGGTTAAAACAGCTCCTTTTTGAAAATGTTTTCGATGAGTGATGTGTCACTTTATTTTGCTCTAATTGGTGCTTTTCTCCAATGTCATGCAGTCGTATTTATTCAGCTTTTATTTCTTGTGTACTTGCATACTGGTATTAGTTTAGTCCCACAATCTGCGATAAAATGATCCGCTGTAGCACCTACTCCACTTTTATGTTTATGTATCTATGTCATTCGGATCTTCCCAAGTTGTACAATGTACTGTTGAGATACCGAATTCAAATAAATCAATACCATACCATACCATGCTATGCGTACAATTATTCAAGGAAGAAAAAAAAAAAAAGGAAGGAGATGGTACAGGTTCCTGCACGAGTACGAGGGCAGTACCGCGGAATCCAGCCCGCGCCGCGATAGCGGCAAGGGCTGGATGAACAGAGGAGTTGACCAATGACAGATCAAACAGCGCGGGCTGGAAAGCGCGGTCCTGCCTGCTCAAAGGTGATGGAACTGGATCCACTGCCCGTCGTCAAGTGACGACGGGCAGGAACGGATTCCACTGCCCGTCGTCAAGTGACGACGGGCAGGAACGATTCCACTGCCCGTCGTCACTTGACGACGGACAGGAACGGATCCCACTGCCCGTCGTCACTTGACGACGGGCAGGAACGGATTCCACTGCCCGTCGGCAGTAGCCACTGGACTAACTCTCTACTTCAAGGTCTTTCATTGGTTACTAATAAAATAACTAAAGCAGAAGAGCGACTGTTTGGAACCACAACTGTCATCATGGCGCTCCAACATTTGATCTGGAACTGGGAGAAAAGAAGCCCCTTTGTTGAACGATATTGGCGATCTGAATGAGCTCCTCCGAAAAGTTGAGGAAGAGACTGAAAGTTGCGGAGTCGCTCGCGAAGGAGATCTTGGACGAGCCGGATGAGCCTCAACCAAAGCGCGCAATGCTCAGCAACCTGCAGGATCCGCGCAATTTGCCGAGGTTTCCGATCAAGACGTGGGAAAAATCCGTAGGAACAGAACAGCCAGAATGCCCGATGCCCAGTCGACAATGTCAATGGCGCATGGCAGGCATGGCACCGCGAGAAAAAAAGCACTATGGACTACTACAAAAAACTGTACCAGAAAACAATCACAAAACACAATGCAGGTGTGTCTGTCATGTATCTCTTTATTTGGCTTGGGTGCACACGGGAAACACGTTCCAGTCACTCATACTCGGCCAGTACCGCTGTTCATCCAGCCCTTGCCGCTATCGCGGCGCGGGCTGGATTCCGCGGTACTGCCCTCGTACTCGTGCAGGAACCTGTACAGTCATATCACTAATAAAGCCATTGCCGAGCCACCGTGCCACACCGTGCTCACACTCCACAGCAGAGACTTCTGTGTGTGTTATTGTTGTGAAGTGGACCACAAAGACGTAGCCTACTGTAGCCGCGCCGGGCGCGGGGGACGCGCGTTGTGTTTTTTTTTTTTTTTTTTTTACTATGTTCACATTCCCAGCTCGAAAATAATAAAGAAAGACAATGATATACTATTAACTGCTTTTGAGGGAAAGAGACAAACGGGAAAAGTCTGAAGAAAAAATTACTATTACTAACTGAGACTAGGACGAACGTAGATGTACGCTATCATGCAGATCTACGAGCTCGTACATCAGCCACCAAGCCCATGTTACATGATCACAGTACACCTGGTACACCACTGGTACACAACGCGTGTACAGTTGAGGAGGCGGAGAATACACTCGGTGGTTTACCGTATTTCCACAAATAGTAGGCCGGTCTACTATTTTTCAATCTCGTCCTAACCCGGCCATAATCGAGGAAGGTCTTGTATTGGAGGACGGTCTTTTATTCTTTCAACCCAGTTTAAAAAAAGTAAAAGTAAATTATCGTATCCGTTCCCGAAGGGAACTCACGATGGCCGCTAACACCCGATAAACCCTAGCGGCAGATGCAGCGCCTAACGGTGGGGGTGAGTGGGCAAGTCTCACAACCACTGGCACAAGTGCCAGTTTGGCCCCGGTCTTCTATTTCTCGCCACACAGTTTTACCCCCGTTCTTCCATTTTCTTCTACACAGTTTGAGCACGGTCTTCTATTTTTCCCCACAGTTTGAGTACGGTCTTCTATTTTTAACACCAAAGAACAAAGACTCGTTTAGTAGGCCCGGTCTTCTAATCGGAGACGGTCTTTTATTTTTTCAATCGCCCCCTGCCCCGGCCTTATACATACGAGGAAGGCGTTGTAAACGAGGACGGCCTTTTATTTGCGGAAATACGGTATTATGGTTGCAGTCTGACAAGGAGCGTTTTCCTACTTCCTCACTCAGTCCCTAGTTGCAGTCATGAGCACTATTCTCAATCTCAGCACACAGTATGTCCTCCGCCTGTTGTTTGTTTTTGATTTATTTTAGTTCTGTTCGTTGCCTGAAATCAATCTACTAGTACGCTCTCCATTCCTACAACGTGTAAAAATATAATAATACATGGACCTGCATGGACTCGGGCATGGGCAATCCACGTGACCCTCATGGGTATGCCATTCGGCCAAAATATACCCTACTGTAAGGTTGTATACCAAAATTTACGCCAGGATTTGATAAGGTCTGTGTCCACTGAGTTTTGCATAGCGCTCGCAAACACTGCACACAATCAGAAAGCCAACAATGAAATTGCCTCCAAGAGCCGAAGTTGCGGATCGCGGAAGCAACGTACATGTACATGACACTGTGGCCGTGGAGCACTGACAAAACGGAGTCTGCACAACACAACTACATGTAAATTGTAATGTCATTCCAGGAAACCTTGTGCCGACGCAGACAAACGATGACAGTCACATGTACATGACATGCAGGGTTATACTTATTTACATGTGTCATGTACATGTACATGTGCATGTATAAGTACTACTAGTACTTATACATGCACATGTGCATGTATAAGTACTACTAGTACTAGATACTAGTAGTAGGCTACTACTAGCCAGAACAAAGGTGAAGGGGGGGGGGGGGGATCATCGTCGTTCATCGAGCCCAACATTTTGTGATTTTGCCTCAATTTTGTGGCGCCATTTTGCCGCTACGTTCAACAACACCAGCATTGCAGCAAGCAACCGACCAACTACATGTACATCCATTCCATGTACAGTGTATGTACATGTACATGTTATTCATCGGCCACTGAACCGGCCATGAGAATGAGATGGTCTCATATCGGTGGTGAGTAATGATTATGGGATGCACTGACTCAAGGGGGGGGGGGGGGTCAAAAGTGAAGGAGGGCACAGCCCCGGCTCTGTCGCTTTGGCGAGAACCATGACAATTACATGACTTTGTATACGTACGTGTATGTTGTCTCTCCCTACAAACTTATCGGCAGTAAAGGCCGTCCTTACTGGACCTTAGCCATAGGTGAAGTGAAGTGAAAGTAGGCTAAAAGACAACCGTCGCCAGGAAGGACGAGGCGAATCCACACTTCCACAGCCATACCACGGCTGCATGAAGAGATTGAAGTCAATGAAGACTCGCGTTTCATAGATTATGTCATCCTGAAAATGACTGTTGTCAGAGGTGCCACCGCGTCAATGTCATGTGCTTGAGCTTGTCTACATACTGGCAATAGTGGCAATACACTACAGCCTTTTTGTGCATGGTGGTGATTCCGTGCATGCTGCATTGACTCAAGCCAGTCAACATGGCCACACAGTCCTTATCTGGCTATCTCAAAGTCAAACTCAAAGACAAAGGTTTCTCTTTCGCGCGCACGCGCACGACGTCCAGTCTAGTCTCGACAAACCCTTGCCTTAGCAGGCGTGTGTGGCATGGAGCCTTTTTGCCTTTTGGAGGGCGAAATCGCGACTGTGTGGTCAGACCGACTCAGGGTGAAGGCGTTCCGTGGCAATGTGGCCTAGTTCCGTCAGCTGTAAAATGTACCTGTGTACGTTCAGGAGGAGTGCTTTGAGTCAGCTGTACTGAACTGAAGTGTTGGTTAGTGTCACCGGGTAGAGACGAAGTGGTCGCGCCGACGTTTCCTTCATCCATATTACTTCATCGTCAACCAGCGCAACTCAGCGGAACGGCCAGTGTTGTGTGTCGCTGCGTGTGACTGTGTGCCTTCGCGGCTCCCACGCAACGCTGCGGTACAGTGCATGTACTGGGCACACTTAGTGGTCCCTTGCTTTGCTAGTAACATGACGACAGCTCCGACCGGCGACAACAGCAGCAACCGAGAGCGAACGACCGTTACGATGCTATGGCAGACCCCAAACCAGTTACCTGCTCGACACAGACTGACTGCCACATGCAACATCAGGTTTGCGTGCCACTTCAGTTGCAAGGGTGTCCACCGCGTATGCGCGCCTGTACATGACTGTATTCTTACCCGCGAGGAAGCAACGAAGGCTTTGGAACGGTTTCAGTTTTTCCTCCAAAAGGGCAATTTTGAAGGTTGAGGTAGAACAAGATAGCTACGTTTAGTTCACAGTTGAAACTGGTGAGTGCATGGTAATACATTGTGGAGTTTGACGAGACAACGCGCTAGAGATTATTTCTCGTGATTCGACAGAACTCGGAAGCCTGTGCAGTGAAGTACTGAACTGCTAGTGTTAGCCCAGTTGGGCACAGTCGTTACTCGGAGAGTCGGACGTTAGTCCTACTCTAGTACTCGAGCGGCGCTCTTCCCTCCAGTGCGCGTAGACTTCAAGTACAGAGTGCACACGCCGCGCTACAAGTGACGTTAGTTAGGTGATCGATAAAGACGATATCAAGAAGTAATTTTGTCTCGCGTGCGTGCGAGAAGGTCGCTGCACCTTTCGCGCATTCGTCGTTTTGACCTGCCCGCACGTGGACGGTGAAGAAGCTAACTCCTCATTCAGGAAGGTAAGGAGTACTGTGTCGCTGTCAGCATTGGTGGTTTGTATGTATAATGATTGTAGTGCTGTCTGCACGCGCACGCACGCGTTTCCTTCCGATGTAATGATAATAATTATCAGAAGCACCATGCAACTGCAAGATTCTGCACAAAGTACTTCAGTCTTGGAAGTAGAAACATTACCATACCCCCTCGCCAGCAGGTATTTGGCTTGCCATGCTGTGCATACAAGTAGCACACATAACACAATACTACTAGTACTAAGTGTATTACCATGATTACGTTTGCTCAAGTATTTGTTCAGAAGCTAGATACACTGATTGCACTGCTGTGATAAGACAGTGTTGTTGTACTACACTGGTGCAACATAAAAAGGGGGGTACTCATGCCATGGTACCTTGTCAATGTGCTAGGCTTCTAGACTGAGCCACAATGCTCTGAGAAGGATAGATTTACCATCACTGTGGATAAGAGTCGTACCTGTAGCTCAGTTGGATAGACCATTGCTCGCGAATAGCAAGGTCCCTGGTTTGAATCTCGGTGGTGTGACTGATGTTTTTTTCTTTCTTTCATATCTGGCTTGCAAGTGTTGAGTTTCGGAGAGGAAAGAGCAGTACGTGGCATGTGGCCTCTAATTTCCTAACACTTTGAAATTCTCCGTGAAGTCCAAATTTGAAATCACAATGCTCTAACAAAATTAATGCTCTAACACCATGACACGGTGGCAGATGCAACGTGAAAAGCTGGACCGTATATTGTCATTATGTGGCAGACTGCTGGACTGAACCACAATGCTCTTAGCATACTACTTTTTTTTGTAGTACTCTGACAGCCTAGCACAACCATTATTGATATGCAGTATTGTACCATTGGGGCCTGTTCTGGGTACTCACATTTTTGTCCTAGCACGTCACTTGTTTGGGATCTACATCATGGACATGTATGGTGTAGGTCTACGTGACGTCACATGTGGCTGCTACATTCGAGATATGATGCAAGGAATGTGTGTAGTTCTGTGGGAATGGTTGATGGAATTATGTTCAGAGGAAAGCATGCAGCAGAGAAACTATTTTCCATTGTGTATTTCTAGACAGAGACTTATGAGCTGTGAAAACCCAGTGTTATAAGCAAATAGGCGCACTGTATTGATAAACAGTTTACAAATTGGCATGTTTTCAACCTTTTTGTTGTAATCATCACCAGTAGCAGTCAATAGTAGAACGATAGCACCCAGTTGGTTGCTTGCAATGTGGGAGCCAATGCTTCCTGATGTCAATTTCAGTGACTCATGAATCCAATCCAGAGCACATGAGAAGCACATGGAGCCTCCGAATGTGCTTCTATTTGTAATACTCCGTAGTGGGCGGACTTTTGTTGTGATCTATACATCTATACAGATGCCACAGTGTCTTCATTATTTTATTTGTCATGTATGTGTATGTTTGCTGCTCAGTGAATCATGCTCAGTCACAGCCAGCACTCTCCCCATGTCGTCCTCTGCATACTAATAGCTCTACAAGCATCATCCACGAGTATAGTTGCCCGTAAGTTCTGCCATGGCTACTGCAATCGGTATGGATGTTGTACAGTGCTGGCAACTGAAATCCGACCCCCTGAGCGGTGCGCTTACATCGCAAAGAATGTGAACCCACCGCCGCTCAGTGGGTCGGATTTCAGTTGCCAGCACTGTACTTGAAGAGTGTGAATATGTGTGTATGCACATGTATGGATGGGATTTGAGTGTGTGTGTAAGGACGGAGGCTCTTTTTAAATGCTGCTGCCTGTGGCATATTCATGCCAGCGCCTGGGATTAGCTGTATTGATTGAACAGTGCATGCACTCTTTACCACACCCGTGCTACAGGTTTTTGTTTCCGAGAAGGTATTTCGCTTTTATAGCCACATTGGGCACCAATCTATATACCAGGACATCAATAAGTAGAACAGACTTGCTTGGAGTAAACACCATACAGTTAACACAGATGTAGATGTAGATGTAGATGGCATCATCCGTATCTAGCCATACACAACACTGACAATTTAAAAAAAGAAGTTTTGTCGTTACAATTTGTAGGACCTATGTAATGGGATTGAGAACTTTATGTACGCCACTACTTACTGGGGAATGTGCCAAGTTGTTCACTTGCTATCATATATAGTTTTCAGCTTGCTACCTACCTGTGTACAAGCAGAGGGTTCACTATCCTGCGGGCACAATACCGGTCACTTAGTGCTAGCGGTAGGGATGCAATGGGCATTATTTTCTTCAAATATAGTCGAAATAAGGCTTAACAAACGTTTCCTCAGAGACGAAAATGCTACTTCGAAGTATAACATTAAAAAAAGAGGGCAGCCTTCAGGCTCTTGCTAAGACATATACTTAGATGGCAACTGCAAATGGAAACTTTCATCATTGATGTGGGAGTAATTCAAGGTATATTAGCAATGCCCGGGGAGTAGCAGAGGAGAGCCATGCTTTGGAAAATGTGGATGACTTTTCAAGGCATGAACAATGTTTACCAGTATAATTATTAGAACTCGGATAATGAACCAGTATATTAGAAGTGCGTTGGTGGTAGGTGGATATTAAAAAGCAAATTATTAGTTCATTCCTTCTTCCGCCTGATTGAATAACCGTTGCTGCTGCTGCTGCTGCTGTTGTTGTTGTTGTTGCTGCTCCTGCTGTCTTTCTCTTTTTTCTATCTCAGAATCATGCACTGAAAGGCTAGAGGTAGAATTCAATTGTCCTAGTTCGGCTGGATTGAGTAGCAATGAGACGGTGCTACGGAATGATATTTGCGGTACAGCGTTGCTGCAAGACTGCAGCGAACGGTACTCTAACTCGCGTGGTGTCTACCCGAAAGTCTGCAAGCTAGGTAACGTTATGTGTTGGGTGATGATTTTCGTGTGTGTGTGTGTGTGTGTGTGTGTGTGTGTGTGTGTGTGTGTGTGTGTGTGCGTGTGCCGGTGTGTGTGTGTGTGCGTGTGTGTTTGTGTGTGTGTGTGTGTGTGTCTGTGTGTGTGTGTGTGTGTGTTGAGGAGTTCTTTCCTGTATTTCTCCGAAGTCGAATACTGGTGAGTTTCAGGGGATAGCCGATTATGATGTTGGGATATGATGCAAATTTCTTTTAGCCTCGCACGCATAGTGGTAGATGAGTGGTAGATATAGTGGGAACACCTGTACGTCCGGCACTGTCTGACGTTGTGCATTTCTTAACTGCAACATTAGAGGACAGAAAAGTCCAAAGAATAGGGCCAGGCCCGGATTTACAAAGTTATGAGAGGTCGATGAATTTCACGACTCTCATGAGACTCAGTCAGACTGAGGCTTCTGCATCCATAGGAATGCTATCATCGCTCAGGATCAAGGTCCAGGCATATGCAGCTCCTAAGCAGCGGGAGATGAATAGATTAGACCCACCATAAAGTGGTCAAAGACCAAAAATCTAATTCACTGCATCCATGTTACCCTCGTGGCAGGCCAGGAGTTCCCAATTAGCCGAGCTGTGATTCAACACACAGCTTGAATTACCAGCACTGTATTTTACGGCTTAAAAGTCCACCTTCAATACTTGGGGCCTTGCTTTACCTGTTCACTAGTGTTTAAACCCCGGTCGTAAGTCGCTCTGTTTATCAGTCATGGTCCTAGACCATCCCACTGCGTCTGCTTGCATGTAGACCATGGCAAAATGAATGCAGACGCAGATTGCAAACCCAGATCATTTGAAATTAATATGGGTTTTGGAGCAAAATTTTCCCTAGTCATAGTTTTGAGGCCCTAATGGACTGTGATGTAGAATGTGTTCTAACTGCTGTGCTGTGCTGTGCTGTGCTGTGACTTCCGTAGGTTCTGTCTTCTCGCCATGTGCGGTGTTCGAGCAAGACGGTGCAGCCCTGCCTACTGGTGTGCACCGCTGCGATGACACTGTCTGTGTGGACATGTGTAAGGTGGCAGCACAGAACCCTGACATAGAGCTACCTTCGGGCGACAATGGCGTTGACGTATGTCAGTTCTGCCCTGAGCAGACACGCAACGAGTCAGTACATCTGTCCTGCGAGCAGCAGAAGCAAAGTCAGAATGGTGAGTAAACTTTAAAAAAGAGTGCCATCGACCTTCTTTTTCTGTAACCGGTGTCTATTTTGGAAGTATTTTCATTTTTCCACTGGCAACTCACCATCACGTGGAGTATCAACGTTTCTCAAAGCTCCACTTTTTCTATTCTGCAAATGATAGGAGACAAGCGCACACACACACACATACACACACACACACACACACAATCACACGCACACACAAACACACCGTAACACACACACACACACACACACACACACCTTGGACCTTGGACCTTGGATCTTGGACCTTGGACGCGCTGCCATATTCTGGCTATGCGGACCCCATGGGGGTTGAGCAGGTTCGGAACAGTAGGGGCGATGCCGGGATAGGTCTTGTGGTCTACTGAAACGCCGGCTGCAATTGCAAACGATGCAGAAGGAGCTACGGTCTGTGTCGGTTGCTCTGGCCGGGCCACGGCTGCACTTGTGACGCTTCAGGCATTGGCACAATAGCACACAGCGGTTGCAGCGGGCGCAGTGGAAGCTGCAGCGTTCTCAGGACATATTGTTCGTAACACACACACACACACACACACACACACACACACACACACACACACACACACACACACACACACACACAAATTGGAGGGAAGATCCTTAACAAAGCTGTGCATGTTCTTTGGTGAACTCGACACTTCCTCATAGGTTTCCACGTCTCCATGGCGACATTGGTAGTGTCTCTAGACCAAATTGCCGTTGCATTCCTGTTTGACTCCTTATCCAATATCTTGGAATTTCCTATTCGTGTGCAGCGAGTGGATGTCCGTTCGGCTGGTTCAAGGTGGCTGATTTCAATGAGCCAATTGGGCGTTGCTATTTCCGTTCACCGATGGGCAGCGACAAGTTCAAGCAGACTTGGGAGGAAGCACATTCGGAATGCGCACAGAGAGGTGCCACGCTGGCATCAATGGATGCCCTGGTGGAATGGCAGCAGTTAGTCCATACTGACTTGGTTCCCACGCACCACCGTGCAGCATCGGCATACTGGATCACGTCACGTTTCAACGTGTCTGTTGACAAAACAACTGGTGACCGCGCGCTGGAAGCATTCATCGGCTCCAACCTTGATGTCGACCATATTCAGATCGTGCAGGGTGGCACAGCGACGGAATGCCAGAAGAACCTCTCCATGCCCATCCTGGCCATAGGGAGTGTTGAAGAAAACACACTCATGTGCATCGCCATGGTGTTCCAGCACAGCTGTGCATTCTGGAAGGCAACACAGTGCAGTCACTCCAGACAGTACATTTGTGAACGAGGTGAGTGTACAGTGCATTTGCTACATGTCCGAATTGGAAGAACCTCAGCAAACTTCACTGATGATTGGAGTTCTATGAGCCTCGTAGCATCCAGGTGCACTGCATTTTTGTTCGGATCTGACACCGATGTGCACCAAACATGGCTCAAGTCCTAACACATTTACTGTGCGTGACTTGTGCATTCAGTGTGTGAGGACTAGATGGAAGGCAAAGCATAATAGAAACCCCTGCCCAACTATTTTTTTAAAAATACGATAGTTTCACCTCGCTTCATCCTGTTTGACAGACCTACAAATAAGAGCAATGGTGAAGATCTGGATTCTGGAATATGTTGGCCTGTGGGCATAGATCAGAGCTGCACATTCTGGAGGTGTGTGTGGGGGGGGGGGGGGGCAGGGGGATGGGGAGGGGATATGCACTCTTGATAATACTAACAGCTCCGAGACACAGAAACTTGAAAGAGCACTCACTCGACTTCAAGTTGTGTTTCCGATTTTCGCCTAAAAATGCGTGTAGACTTCTGATTGTGAAAAAAGCAGTTACGTAAGAATTGGTTCTACATCCACATCTGTGTCTTTCTACAGATGCTGAAATTCCGACAGAAATGCCCAGCTCGACAGCCCTACCTACTGTTACGGCATATTCTGCTGCCAGCAGTACGGAAGCATTAAGTGAAGTTGTACCAAGTCCAGCATCTAGCGCCGTGTTCAGCTCTATCGATACCACCATGTTCAGCTCCATGGACAGCTCTGTGTTCAGCTACATTGATAGCACTATGTCTGGCACTACTACTGCTGCACAAACACCCATTCTGGGTATAGAGAGTAGCGCAGTGCTCCCAAGCTTTATCAGTGACTCCACCATAATATCATCTGATTTGCTTAGCATGCAGGCAACTTCTTCAAACTTTATCTCAACAGGCGAGATGTCTACGATAGCAACTGGTTCATCCACTATCAAACTCCCAATGAGAAGTTCCTCCATATCGCTATACTCAGAACCATTGATGAGTGCGACACCATCCGCGCTGCTCTCAGATGTGTCCACTGCCGAACTCTCAATGGGAAGTTCCTCTCAGTCATCCCTATCACTATACTCCGAACCATCGACGAGTACAACAGATACCGTGCTGCTCTCAGATGTGTCACCTTCAGCTGCTCTCTCTGATTCTGCTTCAGCGAATCTATTCAGTTTGTCTAGCAGCTCTCTAAGGGCCAGTGATCAGGTTGCTACCCAGGTTGAAATGGCATCAGCACTGCCAGCTTCCTCATCCTCATCAGTGTCCGTTGAAATAAGTGTAGTGACCAGTGTTGCTGCCTCTGTCACTGATATCATGCCTTCACAGGTAGTTGCTGATATGACATCTTCCAGCAGCGTTGCTCCTATGTCATCTCAGCTTGTTCAGTCATCGGTCATGTCTGCAGAACTAGGGAGTTCATCATTTGTCATGCCACCGTATTCAGAGTCTTCCTCACTAACACGGCCAGAGTCATCCTCCATCCAACCAAAGCTCCCATCTCACCTTTCCAGCACTGCCGATGCTAGCACGTCTGTAGTTGCTGTGTCACGGGCCAGCACCAGTGGAAAACTGTCATCAACAGCGACACCACTGTTATCTGCATCAACAGCGACACCACTGTTATCTGCATCAAGTGCTACCGTGCTACTCTCTTCTTCACGCACAGCAGCACGGAGCATTGCAGTAGTGCCAGGGACAACATCCGAACCCCCAGTATCACAGTCCGTTTCACCTTCTCCTGTCTCCAGTGCGTCCTCCAGTGCATCCCCCAAGCCCTCCACCACACAGTCCAACTCGACAACTCCTGTTTCCAGTGCATCTCCCAGTGCATCCCCCAGTGCACCACCCAGTGCATCACCCAGTGCATCCTCCAAGCCCTCCACCACACAGTCCAACTCGACAACTACCAACAGCAGTCAGGACACATCTGAACCAGGACATCACTATCCACCCGGCTATCCCACGGACGTAGCTACTAACAGTACTGATGCCATGGAAACACCCACACAGAGCACTGGCAACACCACTTCCACCGACGACGGCTATGATGAAGAAGCGGCCGCCATGGCCCGCATGAACGTGATCGCCATTGCAGTGATGTCTCTGGTGGCGTTCTTAGTAGTGATGGCCGTCGTTGCTGCTATCATTATCTATGTGAAGACGTCACACAACACCGGCAAAATACCAGTGTCTGCGGATGATGAGATCATGTAAGTAGTACCGGCGGCATTTCGCCGTGCACAGTGTCAGCATGTTCATGCATGCTGCAAACCAAGGATTCACGGGCGGGACTTCGGGCCCAGCACCCGGTGATTGCAATTGTAGGACAGCACCCTGCCGGCCAGGCTACTGGGCGTCAAATGCACTCTGGGTAAAGGGTTCTAGTCATTTTCAGGCATGATGGATGATGAACTTGAAATCTGTACAGGGCCGAATGCTGTAGCTTACCCCTTTTTCTAGGTGGCATATTGCCCGCATAAAGCAGATCCGATATGGGGCCATGCATCTGTCAATGATCGCTAAATCAGAGTAGCTTGTTGGTGGTGAGGCTGATGCATTCATGAATTGGCACATTCAGATGTTTGATGTCTTCCTTGATATTGTCAACTCATTGCTTGTGCATGGGATCGTCCATGGGGACGCTTGTTACCTACTGCTTTTACGTGTTCATACATGATGTGTAGAGTGTACTTCAGACAGTACGAAAGTGACAAGGCTACTACAACAATGCCACAGTGCAGGAATGCACATGCACTGGGTGCTCTCATCCTTGAGAGCTTGACTATTTTCTGTAATACATGTACCCATGATGCCCACACAATGGCATTCTTTACTAAGAGCATTTCTGTCTTGTCCTACGCAGAACGAACTTCAGCTCGGATTTTGAGGACACACCGATGAGAGAGTTCAGCAGCAATAGCACTAACTCAGGTATCGTCTGAAGATGAGAGAACATCAGAGATGTTGTGCTATCTGCGGTGCTGACCATGGCTGACATCATTACAATGATCATGGTTTGTAATTATTCTTGGTTTCGTCCGTGCTATTACGCTGCTTTAGCACATCACTTGTTGGAGTGTGTGTGTGTGTGTGTGTGTGTGTGTGTGTGTGTGTGTGTGTGTGTGTGAGAGAGAGAGAGAGAGAGAGAGAGAGAGAAAGAGAGAGAGAATGCTTATGCATGTCTGTGCGCTAATGAGGATGCGTGCGCGCGCGCGTGTGTGTGTGTGTGTGTGTGTGTGTGTGGCAGGCTGAAGAGTTAGCGGCCCCGTGCTCAACGTGTCCTGTGTATACAGTAGTCTAACTGGTAGCTTCAGTTCCTCTTAGATTTCTCGCCATAATCGCAGCATAGATATGCTAATCGATGCCGGTTGTGCGCCCTTGTAAGGCTTCTTGCTATTCCTGCTCATAGTCTACATCTATCATTATTACTATAACATTATCTAGTAGGCGAGCAGGCAGCAGGTAGATCCTGTGATTCACACACGTAACTGGCTACATACAATGTAGCTCGCTATGTTTGAGCACTCCTATTTCTCCCCTGTGAAGACTGGCTTCACCATCGCTCACTTCCCTTACAATTCATATTGTCATATTGATTTCTAGAAGTGGCAATTAAAAAAAAAAGATAAAATGTCATGACTGTAGTGTAGTATCATATACAAATTTACTTATTGGGTTCAACATGGCTTTCTTAGTTTGTGTGTGTGTGTTGCACATGCTTGCATATGTTGTATACATGCGCGCATGTGCACGTACTAGCATGTGTATGGGTGGTCGTGTGCGCTCTGTATCACACATTAACGAGTATGTGTGCATGCATGCTCGTTAATGTGTGATACAGAGCGAAGTGGATACCTACGTGTAAATGGATCAAGGAAGGGAAAAGAAAAGAGAATCCACAGTGCATGAACTTGTATCGTCTGAACTCGCAAAACGTACAGCTTTTAATGTGTACCCAAATGGTTTTGCAGTGTATTCACATGAATGCCAGTGCATTACTCAGTGCATGCATTCCAGTAAGTAAGTAAAAAGGAAAGAGCTTGTTGTAATGGTCAATGTCAGTATTTGAAGTCCTTTACTGTAGAACTGTCACAGCGTCACAACTGATCAGCTAGGAGGGGATCTCTGAGACTTGTCCTCACTCTGGCTATATCCATGTTGACACGGCGCTTAACAGAGATTGAACAGAGATTGAACAGAAACAAGCACAGTGAGGACAGTGAGCACAGTGAGGACAGTGAGCACAGTGAGGACAGTGAGCACAGTGAGGACAGTGAGGACAGTGACAGTGACAGTGAGGATTATTATCAAGGGCATAACTTACTACAGTGCTGTCGAATGAAAACAACTGATGGAAAATGTTTGTTCATTGGAAATATTGGCAAACCACCATTTCAGAGTAATCTGTTTTTTTAAGCCATACCTTTACTGGGGTCCTGTCAGCAGATGATTCCGCAGAATTGCCACTGTCTGGGGCACACGGTGATTCATGTTGCATGCGAACAGCACCAGCAGCGGGCATTTCATACACCCTACCGTGGCGTCTGCTTTCATCACCGTCTTCGTCATCACTGTAATCGTTGACGCATACATTTCTGGCTGTGTTGCGAGGTCGTCGCCTGAGACTATTACACCAGCTACACAGGAAGGGGTATAGGCCGATAGCCAGTGCTATTGCAGTCACAATACCAAAGACGATCGGTTTACTGGAGTCACTGAACTGCACAAGGGAATCGCCTTCCATCACATCGTTCTGCACAAGGTCAACTACACTCAGCATAGTGACCAGTGCCAGGATGCACATTTCAAGTAAGTTATCCGAGTCATGAAATAGCCACAGCTTTTTGTCTCTCCTGAACGGCCTGCAGCAGAGAACAGAACAACGCATTTGACACGATATTACCGTTCGGAGTGAGGGTAGCCATGGCTGCTACAGACAAGGTTCGCTCCCTTGTCCGGTATTGGTTGCGAGACTAACCACCTTACCCTTGCCGCTATGCACTGCATCTGTCACCCTGGTATACTCAAGCATGGTAGTGACCTGGCACAAGCGACACTTCCTAAGCTGTTGGTAACGCGGATTTACTTGTACAAACTTTACTTTTTTTATTCATCACAATACTGCGCTCATGCAAAAAATATGACGTGTTTTCAGGGTTCTCTCGAAACTCAGTTCCACATCTATAGGCTATGCTTATATCGCTATACGGTAGGCGTTAGCTTTTTAAACGGCCTATTCTGATTCTGATTAGTCAGATTAAAGTGTGATGCACATTGCCACTCCTGCTATGCGATGAGCATCGAACAAATCTTCCTCATTGCGCAGAGAGTTTTAGTGCTTGTGGTAGGTGAATCATTGTGGTGAAAGCGGTAACAGAGTGTAGAAGACAGAAAACGGCAGGGGAGAAGCCATCGTGCCTGCCCAAACCTGACCATTGCCACTGCTGTGGTCAGTGAAGAGGAGTAGAAATCTATGGAGGAGTAACGCCGCTATTACACTGCTTACCTGAAAACTCCTTGAGCGGCCACGAGGATGCTGAGAAACAGGGCAAGGACCAGTCGCCTCTGCAGTCCATTAGGCAGGAGAGCTTGGATGAACGAGAAAGCAAGCCGTCGTACAATATTGAACGCAGCCCACCACTGTAGACTGGGTTCATATATATGTGTAGCCTCCTTGACAAAGCCGGTCAGCGAGGGCCAGCGGCGTACAGGTCGCCAGAGTAGGATCACGGGTGGTGGAGCCACCACAAGAACTAAAGTGCCTATGGCAAACACAGCGTATGGTAAGTGTTCCTTGCCAAAGTATTTCAACGTCCCATCGCAGTACAGCACCTTTCCATCGCTAAGCTCTGCGTAGTGCAGCAGAGACGCTGACAGATATGCCACATTGGACGATGAGAAGAGAATCAACAGCCAGAACACCTGCATAATGGAGTTCCGCTTCTGCAGGAACTTCCAGAGTTTGATTGCAACACCGCGTCGAGCGAGGACCCACATGACCAGTGTCACCAATACCATGAACAGTGGAATGAACAGTCGTATTGCACTGGCGTGGAGAGCACTGACAGTCTCGTACTGGCAGATACGACCCAGACCAAAGGTGCTCAATGCCAGTGCCGACTCACCGCTAGTCCAGGAGTAGTAGCCAAACATGTTGATGGACAGCTGTACGTAGGTTCGCCATGCGCAAACACCAAACACACACACCACATACATCCACACACACATACACACACATACACACACACATACACACACACATACACACACATGCACGCACACGCACACACACACACACACGCGCGCACGCGCACGCGTGTGCGCGCACACACACACACATACACAAACACACGCACACACATACAGGTGTGTGTATTGGCCCACATCCATTACGCATTATACACTGTTCTTACTCAAACATGCCTCCGGATAGCACACGACTCGTTGTTTTAGAAGACTGTATTATAATGTTTTACTCTGACTCTGATCGAAATCACCTTGCAGTACAAAGGCAAGTTCTGCTTCTCTCGAAGCAGAAGCGGAGATTCAAAAAACATTCAAATCAAAAGATCGCGCATCAGACGTGAATACAACATGAGAAACGAATGCGTAGCAGTATGATAATGCACAACAGTACAACAAGCAGTGCTGATCGACACATAAAACGGAGTGGCTCTGCACCATTATCAGTGGGCTGGATATAGACTGTACATACACTATTATGCATAAGTGGGACAGGCCGAGAGAGAATATCATGCCGGATTTGCCACTGGTTGTTTGGCGTACATGAGTGTCATGTCCTGGACATGGACCATATGTATGCAATGAGGCATCCAAGGCACGCCCCTTGAACCAGAGCCAGGGTTACAGGGAGCAATTGCCCTGCAATGCAACCAAAATTCATACTCATCGGCCAACACTGTCACGTGATGATCATGAACATCCTACCACTGCACTTCTCAGTCTGAAAGGCTGGACAAACATTCTTGGTGTTGCTCAATTTGCAGTAGTGCGTTGTTGTTTTAGGGTCAACCACCATTAAACTTTGACAACAATAAGAATATAAATTCGAGAAAAATTGGTGATCACGTACCTGAGTGAAGAGATACCAGCTATCGACTACAGGGGAAACCCCTATATTCAAGAGGAGCAGCAGTGTGACCAACACTAGGCTAGCCACCATCATCAGCGCATAGAGCGTCCACAGGTTGATCTTGACCTTGGCATATCTGCAGTCCACACAACCCTAATAGTGATGTGAGAGAGAGACGAGATGAAAAGAGAAGAAAAGAGAGGAGAAGAGAAGAGATGAGAAGAGAAGAGAAGAGAAGAGAAGAGATGAGAAGAGAAGAGAAGAGATGAGAAGAGAATAGAGGAAAATACAACAGTAAAGAGTCTACTAAGGACCCCAGGAAGAGAAGGAAGCCAATAGTTTGTCAGCAGTGCTACCTGGAATAAATTCTATTATGGAGTTGGCACTTTTCAATTGCAATCCGCCCTACTGACCTAGATCATGTAGTATGGTTGCACAGTGGAACATACCCTGCATGTGAACATACCAGTGCATGTGAACATACCCTGCATGTGAACATACCCTGCTGCAGTGCATGTGAACATACCCTGCATGTGAACATACCCTGCATGTGAACATACCCTGCATGTGAACATACCCTGCATGTGAACATACCCTGCATGTGAACATACCCTGCATGTGAACATACCCTGCATGTGAACATACCCTGCATGTGAACATACCCTGCATGTGAACATACCCTGCATGTGAACATACCCTGCATGTGAACATACCCTGCATGTGAACATACCC